AGCATAATCATCCAGCATAGAGCAATGCAAAGCGGCCATCAAGAAGCTGGTGGTTGATCGGTCAGTTCTTCATTAGGCATTTCTCGAACATGTGTGTCTCAAATAGATCTGAGTGATCTGTTTCATACGCAGTTCATCATCCAACGGGCGCCGTGTGGGGGAATGTGAGTTGAGACATTGCTCACAAGACATGCTGGCACAGACAGGTCGAGACTGGATGGGCGTTTCCATACAATCGGGTGTGGCCATGGTGTTCGAGAACAGGCATATGAGGCTGTATTCTCAACATTGAAACCCTGTCTCCAAGATTGGGCTGCATCCAGACATGACGATGGTGGTCTCCGAGTTTAGACATGCGACGAAGGGTAGTTGACCACGACGCCTCTCAAGGGTCATGACATGCTTGACATGTATTCACGTTTTTCCACGTACCTTTGGAAATTCGGATAATCAGAACCAGCTGGGATAGCACTTCTGGCTGTGTAAAAGTTGGCGAAATGGAAAGCTCGTCGAGAACTTTGAAGAGGAGATCAGAGATATCGAAGCTGGTATGGCCCGGCCAAAATCTGAGAAAGATTGCTTGGTGGAAGGTATCTGTTCGAGTCGACGAATAAATCTGATTGGTTTCCTGGGGAATGGATGGTGGAATCTTAAGTTGAATGCTGCAAAGAAGACGATGTGAAACCGCACGCGGCCGCTAATGAGTGTGTTGTGTCGTGTGAATGACACGTTAAGGAACGAATGAAGGTGAATTGAAAAGAAAGGATGACAAGAGAAATCTCTGTCGTATAGAGGCCGATGGAGCAGGAAGGAGAGACGATGCAGCCCACGGGGCGAGCGACGACGTATATAAAAATGATCGACCTGACGGGGGTGTCAAAGGGTTGTGGCTCCAGCTGGGGAGTGTAGAAAAGAAGTGGGAATGAGTGGAAGTCGTCGTAATGAGTGACAAAGTACCAGACCGGGGTCGCAGAGGCGAAGGAGAAGAGAAAGTCAAGAAACGCAAACCAGGCAGAAGATGAGGAGGACGAGGACGAGGACAGGGCCCAGGCGAGGAGCGAGGGAAGCGTTGAGCAGCAGCTGGTAGCAGGAGCTGCCCGCCCCACATCCAGGTACCGATGCACCCCTGCCCCTCCCCCCAGACCGCCACTAGAGGGAAGGGCGGCTGCCGCAACCGCCTAGGCGATGACTGGCTCCAGGGCACCGACAGCCACTGTTCTAGCGACTTCCCGCTGTGGCAAGCGCTAACCGGCAGGCCATGGGGGCCGCTCGCCCCCACTAGGGGTGTGCCGATGCAAGGGTTGGGCATTTGGAAGCCCCGAGCTCATCTTCCTCAAACAACAGCGGCATACGGCATACGCACTCGGGTCCAATGCGGTTGCACAGCCAGATTCGCCTACGGAGCACACTCTCACTGATTGGTTTATCTTCTGGGCCCTGATATTTGTTTGTTTTTTTTTCTCGCCGTCTCCGATGTATATTTGTACCTACGATACGTGGTGCATCGAGATACTCGACCTTGGCAGACGGTCTTGACGGTGATCGTACCTGCTTGTTGGGCATCATGGCGATCCCCCTCAACAGGCCTCTTCTCCTCGGAGGGGGCGGGAAATACTTCGTCTCGCAGATTACTTGCTGCGTCCTTGGTCAGCCAATCCAGCTGTGAGAAGCATCTGCTCGTTGTCACGCCTGTCAATCCAGCTTACCGAACCCTTTCATCTTCGCTAACGCCAGCCGGCTCTCTCGCTGAAAATCCTTGCACTGCAATGTCGGGATCACTCCCAAAAGCCCCCTCCTCTCATCAACAGGATGTAAGGTCCAAGGAAGTTCATCCACGTACAAGAGTCGTGAAGCCATGCCGCCGTACCTTGCAGAACGAGGTGGCAGTGGGGTCTGAGCTCCGATCCTTGCCTGTGATGATCCTAGTCCAGGGGTTTTGGCCAACGGAATCCCTACGTCTCCATTAAACAAGCTATCACCGCATTGATCCGTCATAGGTCTGCGTGCTTTTCTGAAACCGCCTCAATCTCAGTGCCTGAAACCCCGGTCGGCCACAGCTCTGACTAACAAGCAATGCAATGCCAAGTATTGAAAGCATGACATAACGATCTAGACGATGATTCGGATCATTTTCGCCCTTAGGAGCAGTCGTTGTTTTCACTTCCACTCCTCAAAAATGCGAAACATTTTCCGCACCCCAGGTAAATTCTCAGCCAAAATGACAACCTGGCAGGATGCAAAGACATGATTATGGGGTTATGACGGCGGTTTGGTTGTGCTCATGCTGCATGCATCCACTGTTCAATGCCGGCACAGGGCCCCCGACGCCGGTGATTTCCATGGTGCCACTCTCCATCGGACCAAATTTCTTGTTTCTTCTACTCCTTGCTTCCTCGCTTCCGTCAAAGTCGACGGGGCATGATGACGTCCATGGGCAAATCATGCACTCTGAGACAGAGGGCAGGAGACAGAGCAGCCACACTGATGCATCAAATGAGGGAACACTGCATTCCAAAAATGCAGCTGTATCCGCCTGTACATCTTCACAAAACCACAGGTCAATAACGTGGCATCCGAGTTCCGATAAGCTGGTGGGATTCGCCCCTCACTCCTCGTTCTTTGACAAGTAGCGGCCGAGGAGACAATATAGTACTATCCTCCTGCCAATTTGCTTCAAGTTCCCCATTCTTGCATCCGCCATACCATCCTTAGAAACTCCATGTGGCAATTTCGGCCGTCAACCTAAATTACTCATATGCCGCTACAGGGCAAAGCTTGTTCGCTTCCTCCCAGATGACCGCGGAGGAACCTAAGCCGCACCCAAGCATCCATCTGATCTGGACGAGCAATTTCAGTCAACTTTTTTGCTTTTCGCTACGGAAGCGCACCGTGTGAACGCATCGCCAGGATTTTCCCCTTGGGCCAGCGTTCGCTAAGTGCACAGACACGACCAGGGGTTGTTACAGACAAAGGGATAGGTTCTATTTCTGAGTCCTCCCACGGCACATGGGTAGGCACCAACAGGCAAAAACTGAGCCAACACGGTTAGTTAACTGGCAACATTTCTATCAAGAACGAACGCTCTGATACGATGATGAATCTTTTTCTACGTACCCAGCCGACTCAACGTCCGTTGTTTGGTCATGTCTCACCATCACAGCTGAACACCATGAAGCCCCACCCCCTCAATACCCCGAAACACTGGTACTTAGGTAAGGTAGATACGCCAATTTTAGGAGCTGGTGGCTCCCCCGTTTAGTTTTCTCATTCGCACACGCCCCCCAGCTCCTCCATCCTCCCCGGAGTAATAAGCTACTAACAATGGATAATTTAGTAACATCTATGGAACTTGCCGATTCCAGTAACACAAGCTGATTACAGTCCTCGCAAATACTACATTGTGTTATTTCCAGTGACTGTTACTCACAACTAGATGTTATCCAGATGCCTTCATCGGAATGGGCAAACGCCTTTTCCCACAGCCGACGGACCACATTCACATCAGGCTTTACACTGACAGGATGAACGTCCTGCACAGTTAAGGGCTGACTTGCAAACGGAGATAACACCATTCCCCAGGTCATGGTTCCAGAAGCCATTCCTTTTCGCCCAGGGAACCCTGTGAAGTCCGGCATATTCATCCATGCTCCTTGATCCCGCGGTGACTGAGTGGCATACATAGTATTTGATTTGTGGGATGATTGTCTGTTGTTGAATAAACGTAAATAAATCACAACCAACACATGCCACAAAACACGCCTGCAGGTCCAATCAAGCCTGGGCAGATAAGATTTACGCGCTGCGCATTTGTGATATGCACAATTGGAAAGTACTCGGCCGTTCTGCCCTGTTGGTTGTTGCAGGATTGGCTTATTTGCACTTTGGCTTGGAATACTTACTCAGATTTAGAAATGGCCAGGCTTCAGAGACCTTGAGTCAGTCACCTCCTAACCACACGTGGACATTAAAGGTTACTCATACGAACATCTTCGGACATTCGTCTTTATCTGTGACACACACATAGTTCTCGTGTCTGTCGTGAACCACGACGCAAGTCTCACGTTTCCACGTATGGTGATGCATTCCGGGTTTTCGTGTTTTCGTGTGCGGGGGTCGGCAAAGTACCTTTAGCAGTTTGACTGGACTCGAATGCTCGGTCCGATCCATCAGTTGCACCAATTGGCCCAGTATCACAGAGCGACGGTCTTGCCAATCGTATGCACGATTTCTTATGGCACCGCTGCTCATCTATTGGCAACCAATCACAGGCCTACCGGGGTTAGCTTTTGCTTTGAAGTGATCAGTCGAAAGTGAGATAATGGTTCAAAGAATCAACCCAAAAAAACATCAGATAAATTGAACGTGATACCCAGAAAAGAGAGCAGCATGGAGCCTCCATCAGCGTATACTTTCAGCACGCTACCAGCACGCTACCAGCACGTGTAGGGACTCAACAGCGTGAGAAATGATTTATTTTCTTAACATCGAAGCTTTCCCTGTCACCTAATCCTAAGGTAAGTTAATATCGGCTGTCCACGGCCTTTCGATAGATATCCCAGATTCCAGGTCGACGGTTTACGAGAGCAACCGTTGCCAATCGCACCGCGAACTTTAAAAATATTGACATTTCGTTTCGAAATGGCTCGAAACACCTCTGGCAAAAGGCATAACATCGAGAGGGTCGTTCTGTTTACGCAGAACCGTCGAGAACCACTTGTAGATGTCTATGGCCTCCACTTGCTTGAGTTTAAAAGGAACCCTAGGAATAGGCTGATCCGAGCGGGTTGAATCCAGATGCCCTAACATTTTGTCGCATTTGGCCCAAAAGCAGATATCGTTGTAGCAACACATGGAGCTCAAGCCAGCACCAGGAATCACACAAGCCGTGTTCATGGTAGTGAAAAAAAATGGTGGTCAATCCTCTAATTTATCAACACAATGTACACAAGGTAGGACCGCCCTCATCGATCTTTGATTTTCGTATCCCAAGCCATATCCGTTTATTGCTTCGCCTCCTGCCCAGGAACAAAGGGCTTGCCCTCGATGGAGCGGAACTTGCGGTCGGCAAAGATCTGCTGCGGTCGGAGCTCGACGGGTGTGACGTTCCCAGGCTGGTCGGGGATCTTCTTCTCGAGTTTCTAGATTGGAGGGAATGGTGTGAGCTTTGGAGTCTTTAAGGATATATATTACATAGATGCATATCGCAAGTTAAAGTAGTAGGGACTCACCAAGTTATCAAAGACACACTTGTTGAGCCGCCACTCGAAGGGGCGGCATTGCCACAGCTGGTGGTTGTGGTTGTCAAGGCACTTCCAGTGGTTGGTGAACTGCTCAAGGCAGTGCTTGTTGACGTCCTCGATACTGCATTTTCCAGCTCTGTCAGCGTGTCCGGTCGACAATCTGAGCTCTGCAGAGCTTCATATAATTCAATGGGACTGCTTGCGGGTTTCAACGTACACGCTGGAAGCGCAGCGAGTGACACGGCGGCCCTCCTTCAAGCACTCGAACTCGCCGCGGCCGGGGTTCTCGTTCTTGCACTGCATGTAGTCATCGTTGTAGTCGCGGCAGCGAGCGCCGATGAAGTAAGATGCGGATAGTAGGGGTGCAGAACTAGCGCCGACCTCCTGGACCTTGGGGATGTCGTCGGGGAGGGGGGTGGTGTCGATGAGGACGGTCTGGTTGAACCTATGAGGGAACTATTAGTCGCATCGTCCTTGGCTGGGCAGCCATTGTGCCGCATCTTCGATACAGCGGGTATTAAAGACACCCATTCGAGAGGTCAGTACATACTGGGGCCTTCGGGTAGACATTTTGGCGGTTCGTGAGCTGCCAATCCGCGAGATTAAGTTGATCCAATGGTGGTTAGGAATCCCGGGCTTTGGATTTGACGTGAGGTTGGAATTGGTGTGCCGTGATTGGCTGTTTAGCCAGACCTACGTCCAAATCGATTGTTAGTAATCAGCCGAGGTAATGCCGGTGCGTTCTATGAAAGCCTCTTGATAGCTGAGGTTAATCAACGCTTCGACATGACCATTCAAGTGATCTACTAAGTAGGTATTTTGAAACATATATCGGATGGGTATTGGGTACATTAATCTTGGTATTCGATATATTATTGTCCTCTACAATTTACTCGTGTTCTTCTTATGAGTAATCCTTCTTTGCATACCTTTTCCTATGAAGTTGACACGAGCTCCTATGATGAAGATCCATCCAGCACATGTAAGAATCAAATAAGAGAATATAAGGCCCTCGACAGATCCAAAGACTCCTCGCGCGGCATATTTCGATAAATCTTAGTTACCGGTATAGTCGTTTTCAACGAACCTGAGTGAGATGTCGAACAAGTAGAAATGCTATAGGGTAGGCTGGCCACGTGGTTATAGGTTAGGCTTAGTGGCAGCACAGACGCGCTTCGTTAGGGAAATCTGGACAGGCCGTGTTGTGCCTGGGAGAAAATATACAAAAAGTAGCATCCATTGTTCCAACAACGACTAAAGCTTTGTGATTCAACCCAAGGGCGATTTTGCATTACATTAATCTACTCTGACCAACAAATCCATTCAATAGCCAGTCAAATCATCGGGTTTACTCTACTTGAAGACAGATGAACGGAGCACCTCGACGGCTGAGCGCATCCGTCTATTGAGCTGTTCTAGTCAAGCTCCAGGATCATCGAAGCATCACGACAACAACAACAAAAGCTGCCACGATGTCTCTTTTCGGCCAAGCAGCCGCCACAACCCAGGCAAAGCCCACCTTGAGCTTGTTTGGCCAGCCGCAGACAGCACAAACGACGCAGCCTGCCCAACCAAACAGGAGCATTTTCGGTCAGACCTTGGGTGCACCTCAGCAGCAGCAACCACAGCAGCAACCGCAGCAGCAACAACAGACAAATGCGTTCGGGAGCTCCTTGCTAGTGCCCCAGCAGCAGCAGCAAGCGCAGCAGATGCCGGCCTTATCTCAGTCCCAGGCCCAGCTTTCGAGCTCGTTATGGCAGCCCGGAAAGGAAACACCCCGTAGGAGACCATCCCCAGACTAAGGTGATCAATGGCAGGAGCATGGATGCTAACGTATGAGAACACGCAGATCAGAAGCCGATACTCGAGCAGATGAAGCTGGTAACAGAGAAATGGGACCCAGCGAACCCGAATTGCGTCTTCAAGCACTACTTCTACAACAAGGTCGACGAAGCCCACATCCCTTTCTACAAGCCACAGCCCTTCGAAGACCCGCGCGAGTGGGAGGAAGCTCTACAGAACAAGCCCGCCCCGGGCTTCATGCCCGTTTTGTGCTCCGGCTATAAGGGACTCGCGGACCGTCTGCAGACACAGAAGCGTGCTATCTCCGAATTCAACACGCGGCTACACCAGGTCAACGGCAGTCTGGATGCTATCCTCCAGCGCCACGAGCTAGAGACGGAGGTGCGCGCCTTGGCGGCCCGGAGACGACAGACGGCGATAAGCGAGCGGTGTATGGCACTGGCTGCCCGCGTCCAGGTCTTGCGCAATAGGGGATATTCGCTGAGTGGTGACGAGGATGACCTCAGCGCGAGGCTCCAAGGACTCGAGAGGGACATCATGGACCCTGCGGTGGGGGCCAGGGAGGAAGAGCTTTGGAGCCGACTGATTGTGCTGAGAGACTACGCCGACCAGCTGAATAAGGAGAAAGAGAAGTCTTCTAATGGAGAGGATGGCGGGCTGGATGAAGAGAGCGAGGCGAAAGCAAAGAGGGTAAGTTTTTGAATTAGGGTCTGGACTATCGATGTTGCATTTTGCTAACCAAGCTTCCCTGCAGATTTTGGAGGATTACGAGAAGCAGCTTCAGCACCTGAAGAAGGAATTGGAGGCACTCAATGGTGACTACGGGGAGTGGGAAAAGAGCAGGACTGCCTTGAGGTAACTCGGCAACCCATGACCAGGGTGTTAGAATATTGGGTATAGGCGAATGGTTGGTTTATTTCGGCGTCGAGTTAGTCGAGCAACACATGGAGTTTGTCAAAGGGTTCCTAGGCAAGGATAGTTCAACTGGCATGGGCTATTATTAATAATGGAACTAGAGCCTCATCACTGCCTCATTGACTGACCATTCAAGTGGGTGACATAAGAAATGAGATACTCGAACATTAAGCTGCTTATTCTCGAGTCTGTGGCCGGTATTATCAGATTGTTGAGTACTAATAATATAAACTTATGAGATAATACGGCATATATTATTATTAATTGTTATTTTATACTACTGTATTTCTCGATTCAAATTAGAAGAGAGTCTCTTTACAACCACTCTTCCATTTGGTGTCTCATTTCTCATGTCACCCACTTGCCATTATATATTTCTCCTCAACCACAGTCAATCGTAACTAGACATCGGAGTTATAATCTTGACTTGATAATGTTCCTCCCTCTCGCTGAATCCGCCCGAGCAACTGAGAGATAGGAGACTTATGTTCCTCAAGCCAGTCAGTTTACCTCGGCTTTGTGTTGTGAGGCATGGCAATGAAGTAAGGATACGAAGACTCTAATTGGGCTGGTCCAAATTTTACCAACGCCTGTTTGCAGTGAGAGTTTGCAGAGAAGAGAGGGGAGGGTATCGAATGGGAATCGCTGATTGACGGCCTAGGTATTTGAAGCCATGGATCCCTTGATGGTAAACACTCTCATGCTTGGAGATTGAATGAATATTGTACAATTGTTGACTTCTATTGAGTTTGATCCCAGTGTCCTATCCTGGACACGCTTCTGATACTATCGTACAAGGGCGGGCCTGTCTTTCCGGCCCAGATTTGCTTCGTAAGGTCCGTTCATATATTATTGTATAATCCCCGAGCCTAAGGTCGTCGTACATGTATTGCTTGCTTCTTTCTGATGCTGTCCGCGTATCCGCTTGAGGTGAAAAAACTATTTAGAAAATCTTGCCAACCATGTCAATGGCGAAGGGAGCTGTGAGGCGTTGTCCTTGTTAGTTTGGCTTATCGCATAGTGGCGTCTTCGTCGTAGGTCCGGGGTGAACGTACACAAGTAGAGGAGGAAGGCTGTGGCGACGACTTGTTGGACGGTGAAGGCGGCCTCGGCCTCCATGGCGCGGATCTCCTCCTGGGATTGTTGAGGGGGGGCGACTGCCGTCTCGTGGTCAGTTTACCCGGCATTTCCAACGCGCTCGTGCCTGGTAGTTTTGGGAGCTTTTGACTCACATCCTCCGAACATTTTGACAAACGGTTTGGTTGGCTGATGGAAATCTGAATCGGGTAGCGACTGGGATGGCGTCTAATGCGATGCGCTCGGTAATGTTGGTGATTGAACGAATTTGGTATTAGAGGGGAATTACGTCGTCGGAGCTGTCCTCGATGCTCCATGAAAAACTCACTCTTGGTGCATATGGCTAAAAAAGCGTCGATGCCCGATAAGCGCCGATAAGAGCCGATAAGGACTCGAGGGCTCGCTGCGTCACTCGGAGCGGCATGTCAGGGAATATGGATCGATGATTCGCTTTCCCCTTGCTTCCAAACAAAAATCTCCGAGATGGGCAAAATCCGATTGCCATATGATTCCGGGTCAAGATGTCTTCCCCACAGATCTCCTGATGCTATCGTGCGTTTATGACAACAGGTGCTAAAATACATCACATCTGGAGACCAGGTACTGAGGAGGTTGAGTTCGTATGTTTTTTGGGGTTTCTTGAACGAACCCTGCTCTTTATGTATTTCACTAGAGGTATTCTAAGGTCATGCAATCATGCTCATCCGACCTTCCTTTCCACTTTGCTTTTTTAACTTTTACCGTATATTTTCTCTGTCATCATTCATGCCTCGAAAACAAGCGCTACTGCATCATCGCCTGCAGTAACTACTCTCTCACCCGTCTCGCCCTGCACGAAGCCAAGAACACCGCCGCCCTCACCATCTCCTCGGTGGCCCTTCCATACCTTCACTAAGCCGGAGTTTGAAGCATCTGCAGCGCCGGAGCCCGCAGCGCCACCGCGGAGATCCCACCTCCGTACCACACCGTCCATGCCGCAGCTGGTCAGTACCCATGAGTCCTTGATGAACTCGACCTTGACAACGGAGTGCTCCTCATGAGCGCCGATGATGTGTCTTCGCACGGCGAAGCGGCGGGTCGCGTCGAATACGCAGACGGATCCGTCAACGGATCCAGCAGCAAGGAGTGTTGTTGGCGGGGTAGTAGATGCGAGGGACACGGCTAGGGTCTCGACGCTGTCGGATTGTGTGTGAAGGGAGGCGAGGATCTGGCCTCCGCTTGTAGGGTCGGCAGCACTCTTGTTGCCTTTGCCACGGCCCTGCGACGGGGCGTTGCCGGAGAGACGGGGGAGGGAGACGACTTTGATGGCACCGCCTGCGCCGCCGGCTGCGACGAATGCACCCTTGGGGTCGATGGCGAGGGAGTAGAGACCGCCCTCAACCTCGAATCGCTGATCCTCACCAGTGAGCGAGACGCAGGCCATGCCGTTGTCGCTCGTCAGGCCCTTGGCAGCGGCCTCACCCCACACATCCCAGACGTACAGACTGCTGTCCTCGGAGACAGTGACTAGAAGCTTGCCATCGGGGGTCCATGCGCCGGCTGTGCACGGCATGCCGTGGAGGAAGTAGGACTGGACGATCTGGAGGGCGTTGGATGGGTCGGAGGGGTCAACGGTGTAGACCCAGACGGAGCCGTCCGAGGAGCCGAGGGCGATTGTGTTGGGGTTGGTGGTGCTCGGGCAAGGCACCACCCAGTTGACCTCGGGAACCTCCTGCGCCTCGCCGAGGAGCGATACCTTGAGGGCCTGGCCGGGCTTCACCTCTGTCTTCCATGCTCGTATTCTGCCGTCGAGACCGCCGCTGATGAGGACTTCGCCGTGGGGCAGGGTCCAGGTTAGGGCGTTGATTGAGTCGGAATGGCCCTCGATCGCGAATAGGCTCTCGAGCTGTGTGGTCTGGCGGTTGGCGGCGGCGGCATCGGGGTCGCTGGCGAAGCTTGCGGGGAGAACAGGTCTGGACTGGGCAGCGGAAGTGTCGAAGATCCAGCCGGCGCCGGGAGCGTCCTCATCAGCACCCTCAGCACCGCCCACAGCAATGAGGGAGGGGTGGACAGGGTGTTGGGCAATGGAGAAGAGGGAGTCCTTGGGGACGTCGAAGTAGGCGATCGAATCGTTCTGGAGGAGGATTTCCTCCTGCTCGTCGTCTGAGTCCATGGGAATGTCGTCGCCCTGCTCAATCTCCTCGGCGGCATCGTCTATGGCGAGCATCTCGTCGAGGTCCTCCTCGCGGTCGCGGGGTTGATTTTGGTCGGCCATTGTGTCAGTCCTTGCAATCCAGATTGGTAATAGTAAAACGAGAGGTAAAGAAAGAAGGCGTATCTGACGCCTTTATGTATCTACCCTTGGATTCCAGAACCAGGGCGATGGCAACTTTTCTTCAGGCAGTGGACGATTGAAGAAGCTGCGCTTGGTTTGCTTGATAAGCAGATACGGCCAAATTTTTGCTTAGAAAATCGCAGCCAAATTTTCTTTTGGCTGCGGGGTGATAAGAAATGCGTCACAGTTTGCCCCGCCATTTATCAAGGCGCAACCATAGTGGCGGGCTTCAATGTGCAGGTGGCCTTGCTCCTTCGTATTACTCACTGCGTGGATGAATTTGACGCCAGACTCTTTTCATGACAGTTTGTTTACTTTTTTAAATGAATGAATGAAAGAGTGCCTTAAGCCTGGGCCAATTTGCTATTATCCAACTAACGCCGGTCCGATTTCGTGAAGAGGATGCAATTATCTCTCTTGCCAAAGTTCCAGATGCCCTGTGTGACAGTATTAATAAATTACCTATGCTCCGTCAAGTACTTCCACCCAATTGCACTCCGCCTTCTTCCTCCTCCACCGCTCCCCGGCGGCATCTCGAACAATCTTTTCTTCTTCACTGACTTCTGCGGCCTGGCTTGCCATCTCGCGTATCTGATGTTTAATACCAAGCACAAGCATCTTTTGCCAGCCGCCGTGGACCTTGCACCTCTTGCGCTCGCATATCCCCTCAGCTTCTCCGAGCGCCGAAGCCTGGAAGATAGCCTCGCCCTCGGAACTCTTTACAAAGGCCGCAAATGCGTCTCGTGCTGATATTGTGTCTAGTCGTGGGTCGTAGCCACACATATCGTCACCAAAGGGACCGGCATTGATCACCTTTCTGCGACGCTCTTGTGCCAACTCAATCAGTGTTAGCATCTTGTGACACAAGAGAGTATCTTCAGCAAGGTGGAAACGAGTATTTGCTGCCTCTTCCAGAATGGACTTTTCTTCTTGCGTCAGAATTTCTGATAAATCTTCTCCAGGGGCTATAGAACACTTAGTTAGCTGAAAGTGGGACACATGATATGGTGAAGTTGGCCAAATACTCACTGCTGCCTTTTGCGTCCTGTATTTTGGTCGTTTCCTTCTGAAACGGCATTTTAACCAGCGTAAGAAGCCCGTTTTCATCAACGCCCGATAGATCGCTAGTGAGGAGTGCCATAAACTCGTCTTGCGATAAATGGTCGTTTAGGCCATTCTTTGCCTTTCCTTTGGGAAGTCTTGAGACTAAGCGCTCCCACCACACCTGTGCATGCTCGTTTGAGCAGAAGACGCTTTTTTCGTCTTGCCAGAGCCGTGCTGCTTTGCGACATGTCCCCAGCGCACAGGTTTTCTTGTAAATGGTGGACAGACCTTCCTTGGTGCAGTTGGGGCAGACGAATCTCTCAATGAGCGACTCCCCGATTTCCTTGCTGAGTTTGATACACTCCCCGTGGAACCAGTCCTCGCACTTCTCACAGCAGATCATCCACCTGTGGTCGTCAGGACCCCGGCAAATACAATACGGCCCGTGGTCGGACTCGTCATCGTCATCTTCTTCCCCGTCATCATTATCCTCAGCTGCTGAGCTGGCTCCTGGGACTGGTGTTGGCTTGGCCTTCTTGGTTGCCTTCTTGGGTCCGCTCTTCCTTGGTCGTTTGGGCGCCTTCTTAGCGGTTCCCTTCTTTTTAATACCACCCGCGAGAGCCCCCATGGTGGCAGTAGGATCGCCAGTCTCTGTTGATGGCAGTGGTTGCTGTGATGCTGACCTGCTGTCCGTAGAAGGGGCTGGCTGAGGTAAAGGTGAGCTGGCGGGCATAGGAGTCCCGGATTTAGACTGGTGTTCTGGGAGTTTTGCCTCCGGCTCATCGCCCGGTAGCGGCGAGGGGTTTGGCGTCTCCATTGCGCTGGGTTGTGGTTGAACAAACGGATTGGCTGGCCGGGTTCTCACCCCTTGACCCAAGTCGCGACTTGCCGGACAATGGTGGCCAACGAAATATGAATACAGGACTCGAGCTCAGGCTCGGTACAACGTAACAAAACCCCTGACAAATACAATATAAAGATATGATTGTCCTGCGTGCAGACGCGGGGGATGACGTCCACTGAAACCCGGCCTGTTCTAGGTATTTGTCGGTCTCTCACTCCCACCCTTTTGATGATAGTATTTCTCAGTTCTGTCCAGGAACCAGTCTAATAACCCCGGCAGGTACTTACACGTCGCGCCTTCTGGATGTCTTTAATTTTTCGATGGGGCGAATTGCCATATCGGGATTGGCCCACTTGTGTCACGTGGGGCCTCGCTCAGCTCTCCGATCAGTTGAAATTGCGAAACTGATTACAATTCAGAATCTGAAGTAAATATCTATCAATGGCACTCTCGTTGATGTTTTCGATTTTGATCCGATGACCCTGCGTGGCTGAACGATACGATGCTACGCTAGAGAGTGATGGTTGGGTCCATCCAACTTGTTCAGCTCAGTGGTTCTGGCAGAGCTGCCATGTATGTAGCATTGGCGCTCTAGAATTTTCCTATATTTTTACTGTACCTGTGACGGTGCCCATTGCTCTATTCTACCTGTAGGTTCATGGGTCGTTCGGGGATGGGAAAGCTGAGTTGACAGGTCTCCACCTGCACATCACCTCGGATTCTTCAGTTTATCTGGCTGGGTGACTCATGAGCCTTTTAGCAATTAATTCTCCGAATAATCTATCCAAAGATCAAATTTGCCTACATTGATCGGTGCTACAATGGCGAGAGTGAAAGTTCTTTTAACTGGAGCGACGGGATACATGTAATGTCCCCTTTCCTCCTGTGCATTCTCCTGCTCCAGGCAGCTCACATCTGACAGAGGCGGCACGGTCTTGTCCACACTGCTCGCATCTCAGTCTCATCGCATCCGGGACATCTCGATCACGGCTCTGGTGCGTAGGCAGGAGCAGGCCGACAAACTCGTTTCAAGCCGTGTGACTCCTTTGATATTCAGTGGTCTAGATGACCTGGAGCTTTTGGAACGCGTTGCAAGCGAGCATGAAGTGGTCATTCACACTGCCTCTGGGTTCCACACAGCCTCCGCAGAAGCGTTAATCGCTGGCTTACAAAAGAGGAGCACGGATTCTTATTATATTCATGTTTGTTCCTCATTTCAAACTTACTAGTGAAACCCGGACCTCCGCGTTCTTTGCCTTTAGGGTGTACTAATCGAATCATCGTAGACATCTGGCACATGGAACCTTGCCGAGGCATCTCTCGCCGACCTCGGTGCGCAGGTGATGGAACTCACAGATAATGACAACATCTTAAAGCTCGAGGAGGAACTCCAGGCTCAATGGCCGTTCTCACAGCGTGCGACTGACCTTAGAGTTATGTCGGCCGCCGCTGGTTCGTGGGTGAAGGCATATATTATCATGCCCCCGGATGTTTATGGCTTCGGCACTGGGATGTTCGCAAAGACTACGCCGCAGATCGAAGACATGGCTAGAGATGCTCTGAAGCATGGCCAAGCGGCTTACATCAGAAACAAAGATGGCATCGTGGGATATGTTCATGTTGCTGACCTTGCTACGCTGTACGTGGTGCTTCTCGATAAATTATTAGATGATGATGCAGCGGCCTCTGCGAGTGAAGGGATATACTTTTGCAGCGCCGGTACACATAGCTGGCAAGAAACCATGGGAAGGATTGGCGAAATCGGATTTAGAGACTCTCACTTGGTTTCTGCCGTACCCAAGGCGGTAAGTATCAACGAGGCCGCCGAGCGATGGTCTGGAGGAGATGTCAGAGACGTGAGGATGGGATATTGTTCCAGGTCAGCGAGAGATTTGATTGCCGTTGTTTCCTTCTTGATAGGCTGACGATCGGTACTAGATTCATCACAAAACCGGAGAAGGCAATGGACCTTGGTTGGCGACCACAGAAAGACCAAGGGGACTGGCTGGCCTGGATTGATACGTCATTTCAGGCAGCACTTAAAAGCCAGGAGAAGGATAAATGAAGGAATAAAGAACGAACGACGCCTGCATGATATCCGCTCTCATTTCGCGCAAGGTGCTGTTCAAGCTCTGTTGAATCGTCCGAAACTGAAGGGTGACTAAAGAAATCCGGCAGAAGTTTGAACGAGACAATAAGATAGGTTTGTATTGCAAGTCTCACAACTCGGAGGATTCTCCCCTCTCAAACAGCAGTTATGACTCATAATTGTTATTGTGCATATTAGAACCCGTTTCAACGTATCATTATCTGGTCAATGAAATATCGCTTGCCAACACCCATGCCGCGATATATCATACGTACGGGGCCCCCTCTGGGATTTCGATTCAAGTTCGGAAGCTAGCCATATCTGCCTCTCCGTTTACATAAAATGTTGTTGGTTGGGAATCGGACGTTACGTCACAAATGACATGGAGACACGAACACGGCGAATCCAGCTAGTAGCATCAGAAGCGAATTCAAGACCAACTCCGTTTTTATTGGATATTGGGAAGAGAACGGCTCCAGTTCGCAACTGGAAAGGTAGAGTTGGGCGCGCAGCTTCTTCGAACAAGGCATTCTGCTAGAGCCGCAGCTGTATGCAAGTACCTTCTAGCTACAACGACACGCTTCTCTTGACATCAGCCACCATGTGAGTGGCTGCTATTTGGTCACCTTGCCTTGGAGAAGAACCCGGAGCACCCGGATACTCGATCCTCGGACGTTTGCCCCAATGGCTGCTAGCCACTACATCAAGATGTTGTCGCTGGCCTACTGTCGGTACGGCCAGCCGAGATTTGCTAGATCTGTTAGATCGGTAAACGGACTAGTAACTGCCTTGAACAATGAGCCTGCAAAGACCCTTGAATGCCAATCAAGCTCGTGCTGGCGTCGGCGATTGGATAATTATATCCACTCCCCCAACATCCATCTCTCGCTTCCGAAAACTCAACACCTGCTGCTCTCCGTTACTTTCCTACTCCGTTACTTTCCTAACGCAGTGACCGCCTCTTCTCTAAGTGCTGTAGTGAAATGACCCGAGTGCCGTGATGGTGTTTCATTTAGGCAAGTAGGACGAGACATATGATCTCAGTTGATGACGCTGTCCAACCGCAGGCTTGCCCTGCACTGTCCTTCTTCGTCACCCCGAATAAGTTTCACCTCACCTAACTGCAAATGATTTCTATTTACAGATCGCGCTATGATGATGCCTGTCTGCCTGCTCTCCCGCACACCCTCCTTCCGTGGCTGCTCCTATCTTCCTCGCGTCGTCATCCCGCTAGATGTGGCGGCAAACTAAGAGAGGGCTCGCTTGGGCAGTTATTTTAGCCAAAAAGGGATTACACTCCTATTGAATTATTAACAACACCTGCCAATTTGCCAACCTAGCCATGTGGCAATCTTGTAATTCTCACGCTGCTCGCCGATACCTTGTGCCTCTTCTCCGTTCCTATCTTACCACCTATTTCCGTGACTGCGCGCTGCACCTAAACAACCTCCTTATTAGTGTTGACTCCTACTATTTAATTCTATCATTACACATACTGGAGTGATCAGGAGACAGAGAATATTGAAGTTGTTCTTCACAAAGTTGCCCACCAAACAGCTTTTGGCTTCCCGCTTCTGCCGTCTACTCCAGCATCGGCCATTGTTCACTGGCACATATATTGTTCGATGAACACATATCACTTGGCGTTCTGACGCCAGCCTCCGGCCACGCCGGTCCGCCCATTGATCGATCGTGTTGAGTATCCCGGCCGTCAAGATGCTGGGGACCCTGATTCCGCCCTGGTTTGTCGACAATGCGCCAACTCCAGATGAGTTCGCAACTGCCAGTGTGATATGGGGCATCTCACTGGGCCTCACTATCTTCGCTGTCATCCGAGCAACTAACCAGACCTGTCACCAATGGATTCGAAAGCACAAAGTCACCGCATATATGGTCTTTATCTGGCTCGAACTCGTATCGAGCGCTATTATTGGAGGAACAGCCTGGGGATATATGCGAAAAGATATACCGCCTAGGTTTGTCTAACTCTGCCTTCAGCAGCCCTTACTTCGTTTGTAGCAGAAAGACTAATCGAGCCTTGACGCAGCTTTTGGTACTATTCAGGGACCAGTGAGTGCCCCTCTGGCATCAGTAAACCCTATTTTGTGAGCTCGTTGAGATCAAAACGCCACTAACATCTGACCAGTTTTCCTCTGGTTCTTCCAGACCCATTGCATCCTGCAAATAATTATTAATCGTATCGGGCTGATCGCTCTCAACAAAGTCTTCATCCACCGCCTCAAGTGGGCTGTGTTTATCATCGTTCTTGTTATCAACATAGCCGTGGCTTGTATCTGGATCCCTAGTCGTCTCCAGATATCCGAAACATACATCACCATCAACAATTACTGGGACAGGGCCGAAAAAGCGGTCCTCGCCTTTATTGATCTTTGCTTGAACGTCTACTTTGTCTATCTTGTTCGTTCCAGCCTCATCGCATACGGGCTTACCAAATACGTGCGGCTATATCGCTTCAACCTCTTCATGATCGCGATTTCGTTATCTATGGATGTATGTGCTTCCGGCTCTTCTTATATGCATCTACCCATTTCATTACAACTAACAACTCTCTCTAGGTACTCATAATCGCGATGATGTCTCTCGCTAATACTTTCCTGTCAGCAAACTCTTCGTGCCCGCCACTGGCCATCTATTGACTAACATAATTATTGATATGTTAGCTTTCATCCACTCGCATATCTAGTCAAGCTTCACATTGAGCTCTCCATGGCTGAATTGATTGGCAAGATTGTCAAAGCATCTTCCCGAAGAGGAGCTTGTATGTGCAATGACTATGGGAACGACCCATTTCGAATTGAGCAAATCTGTGCAGTCTCAGTGACCGAGGATGTTGCCAATCAAAGGGCCGTAATGGCGCCAACAACCGGCCGCCTTAAACAATGGCTTACATTGAGACCTTCTCGCTCTAGGCACCAAAATGAAACGCTTGGGAATGGCTTGGATCATTCAATGGATTTAAAAGCGGCTCGGGACTAGGATAAGGGAGCAAGGAAAGGGTCGACGGCATCAACTCTAACCTCACCAGAGTCAAGCGGAACCATGGATGGGGCGGGTGATGTAGAAATGGGTAAAACGGCAAGAATTTTGGAAGATTAATGGGTTTCTTGCACAGAGATTCATCAACATGGTAATGATACCCGGTAATGCGATTAATTCTAATAACGATTGCCTCCAAACACATCGTCACTCTTGTCCTTCGAGGATGACCATTTTTATGCCATATTCTTGCTGGCTCTTCGTTTATGCCCACATGGTCGTTTTCATTCAACTCTTTCTCGCTCACAGCTGCGCGGTGGGTGATTTACATCTATTATATGCCTTGGAGAAGGAACAAAGCTGATTTATTACCTGATATTGAGCCATTGACGATGCTAGCACCATTAGAGATGCGGTACAGTGCCTTCATCTACGAAGTAAGGCAAAGCCGACTGCCCCCGAGGTCGACAGAATCAAGCACCATCGTTTCAGCCCTCTCATAACCTGCTGCTTTGAGAATTCCTCTATCGCTTTCGAATCATTGATCCTCGGAAACTCGACGCCTTCGGGGACAGGAAGCTCCAAGGCCCGACACAGGGGCTCCCACCCGTCCTTAACATCGAACATCACTAGCCGATCCGCAGGCACATTCTCCTTCAGCCAATTGACATGGCGTTGGTACGTTTGAGTTGTCGGCGGCTCCGCCTCTCCATAGCAGTGAATCCACTGGTCGCGGAGACCGTCGATATAGGCCGGGAAGTGGCGCATCGACGGGACCGGAAAGAGCACAAAGCGTAAGAACCACTTTGTCGATGCACTCGCCACGACCTCCATGCTCTGCTCCCAGCTGTGCATGTCCCGGGTGGTGCACACCACTTTCGCGTCGGGGTAGAGGGTCATCAGCTCGGATACCATGCTGCACCCCGGCGAGTCGGTGATAGCGGAGAAGCCGTCCGTCCTTTGCCTGACGAGCTCGAGCCTCTCGCGGTGATCGGCCTCCGACTTGGGGGGCCAGCCGGACAGGACCTTGATCCATGACTTGATCTCGACCTCGGGACCGAGGGTGGTCTGCGTGCCGCCGTGGTAGACGGGACCATCTAGCAGGATTTCCAAGGCGCGGCTGAATGATGCAGTGCCAGTGCGAGGGAGGCCGGCTCCGATCACTTGGATTTTCTTGCCTGGTTGGGGGTGGGAGTACTGCTGGCCCATGGTTTGGTGTTGATGGCCCGTCAGTTACGGTAGTTGTGTGCCAGCTGAAGTTGCAAAAGGGGTGGGATAGACATTGGGGGATTGGACTACGAGTATATACTTAAGGCAGGACATACGTGAATTTCCAAAAAGGGTAATATTTTCACCATACTCGTCTGTTCTGCATGGTCTAGTAAGATGACGTAGGAGGATCTTAGCGGCTTCAGACGGGAATCAGCGTGAAAAGGAGGCTGACCGCTATCGAGCGGGTTTAGACGAGTTTCTTGACGCTAATATCCTAGATTGACCCTTGGCATACATACACCAGCAACATACATTACTCACTGCCCAGTGTCTTCACCCCTTCTCACGACATCCCAAACGTCACCTCTACCATTTCCAGCTTATAAGGAGCCACAAGATGCGAAATCGGGCGAATTCTGGTGTCCATGACCCCGGAGTTCAAAAACCTGTTCCCAAATTTTTCATTTCTCTGATTATGGGTTGAAACTGTTAAATTAACAAAGCTCTGTTTGAATATCTAATCAGTAATTTTGTTTGAGAAGATTTTGCTGGTTGGGAGGCTAGGAGCGAACCCGATCATCTGGTTTCTCGTTCGGCTTGCCACCTTTCTTTGCTTCTGTTTGTTCGCTGTCCCACCTCTTTCTCATTTCTTCCATCTTATCATGAATCTTATGCATGGGGCGAACGTATTCTGGGGGCTGTATTAACCACCTGAAATGCTCTTGGGACTCTTTGTTGTTCTCGTTGTAAGGCGAAAAAAAGAACCAGATAACCCAACCTTGAAGTACGTTAAAAATTTGTTTGAATGGGGCGGGATATCTTACGTACCTCCTGTAAGCTTCAACAGGTCTATTAGGTTATAAAACGCAACTCGAATTGCAAAGCTCAATAAACATACTGGCAGCATAACTATTGCAGTTGGGACGTGGTAGAACGCTTTCCACTTAAAAGATCCATCTTTTAGGGCATCGTATCCCAATATAACGCATCTTGCGGGCAGTTCTATCACAATGTAGGTAAACCAAAACCAGAAATGGGCATTATAGCCCTCTTCCGGTTTTGGATGCAACGTGGGATTTTCCTCCGACCCAACGCCAGTTTCGTCTGTGCTCAGTGTGTCCGTGTCAAGGTTTGAGCGAGAGGAAAATCTAGGAAGCCGCACAAGAGAGCTCTGCTGCATTGTCGAGTCGGTAAAGGATTGGTAATAACTTTTGAAGACCTTCCTGAGAATCTTACCAACCGGTGCAGCGTTGTACAAAGCGATGAATGTGAGAGCAAGTGATACAATGGCGTAAATGATCATGCTAGCCATCAAACTGCCACTTGGCGCACCATCCATACCCATCACGCCGGCAGAGAAACTCAGAGGTAAGAAAATGACGGTCACATAAGTGAAAAAGCGAATGTTTTCTGCACCGCGTAAACTCAAGTCACCTCGGACATGCTCCTGGCTTTGAATAATGACAACTTTCAAGGCCCTCATTTTGTCAAGCAGGTTCTGCAAACTCTTTATCTTTCCATTCGTGACCCCAGTCCAATATTTGACGTCGTCTCCGTATTTCCATTCGTCCTTTTCGGTCCACCGAGGGTGTTGCCCATCTCTGTCGCTGTCTCGATTTTCCCACCTCTTCATGATCTTCGTCGATTCTGTGAGATCCAACTCGATTGCTTCCAGCATATGCTGAAGCCGAAGCCAATCTCTTGAGAAATAGTCTTCACTGTCGGTAATGGATATGGTGAAAACATCATTGCGAAATCCGAATTCACTTGCAATTTCCTGGTATATTTCTGTCGCACCCTCCAGCACTTTGTTCATAACTATGTCAAATAGCCATAGCTCCAGGATCTTTCTTTGGCTCCAAAGTCGTCCTGTATTCTGATCTAAATGAAGGAACGGCAAAAGCAAGGACCCGGCTTCTACTGGGGGGTACTCAGCTGAGTAGCAGGTCCAATATTTGTCAAAAAAGTCGCCAGTGAAATAGAAACTTAGTGAGCACTTGACAATTTGTTTTTCCTTCCGACCAGGAAGTGTCTCTTCCCTTCGTTCTGGGATCCCCGCATCTTTTGATTCACCAGGTCTGAGCAACCTATGAAAGCTAAGATGAAACTCAGTCGTCCAGCTGTTAGATAGCTTGTCAACTGTTTCGGAAAAAACTTTTTCGTATTGGCTATGGCGGTCAAAATATTGGCTGATTTCGTATCGAGAAGACTCTGGGCTGCTCATATAACATGCTAATGCGGTTTCCCTGTCGGCTCTATACAGCCAGATAAAACGTTTCTTCGCATGCGGAGCGTCACGCGCCCCCCCAATATGCTCCCATAATGCCGAATTCGTTGCTTGTAAATAGAAGCAGCAACTATCACTGGGCTGTCGTGTGGTGGGGATTGCATTCTTTTCTGTTGGTCTTTTCTTGGCAGCATCAAGTACCCTAGCCGTTTTGGAGATGTTGTCGAAAGCACCCCAACCTGAAAATGGCACGTTCGTTTCCTTCTCTGATAATCGAGGATCTTGCCTCAATTTTAATAGATATTCCTCTACCCCTCTTGTAATAGTGCTACACTCGGAACCATATTTGGAAGTTTGCATCCGCTGTAGAGTATTTCGAAAAAGCTCTTGGCTCATGATTTTTTCCGAAGAGAAAAACTCAGGATAGTTGTATAGCCACTCTTCTTCATGGATGTCGATGGTATTTATAGGATCGTTTTGAGGACTCAAAAGCAAATACTTTTTCAGCCAAGAGGCTGCCTCAGAGTTGGGGTTCGGGTCGGACTTCTCTGTCTTAAGTTGAATAGGAGACTCCATCTGAAGACGCATATTATGTAGTTCATCGATCGACGGCCGCTCGTAATCGATCTTCCAAGGCCTTTGGTAGGCTTTAGAAATTTGAATAGCATTCATAAACAAGATGAATGGGATTTGGAAACTATTATTGAAGAATCTGATTTCGTCTCTGTCCGTTTGGGGCTGCATCGGTTCTTTGGTTTCAAAATCCAGTTTCCCCGGGAAGAAGCCATTTTGGCCTGAAGCATTTATCAACCTAAAGAAAGCAGACTTGATCAGCTCTCTCGGGTGCTGGCCATTGATAGAGTTTTCACGAACTGCCATCATAAGAGCCAGGCCATATCGAAGCGCATTATCCCATTCCAAAGTTTGATTACCCACGCAAATCTTCTGTAAATTGATAAGGTTGCTCCACGACTTTGCCTCCTTGTCAAAGAAACCCCAATCCTCTCCATAGAAGAGCACCGTATCTTGCGCATGGAATGTGAAGCGGACCCGGCGCGCTGAACGCGTGACTGCCAAGGTACGCTGCTTTATCAGAGGATTCCTGGTAGTGAAGCGCTTGACAATGCCTCGTTGCAAGTCACGAGGCGAAAATGACCGTGGTAGCTCTGAATCCCCCATCTTCTGGCTGTCAGGGGCGGAAGGTGGAGAGATTTTCGTTTCTTCAACAATGCTAAGTGCCTTCCAAATCCATAGCTGGTCACTTAAGCGGAACTCCTTTGCCACTTCTTTCAGCTTGGGGAAATAATGTGGCCAGACAGATACGCCTCTCTTGTCTGAAAGTCTTAGGTTCTCAATCCAGCATTCCCAAACCTTGTCAACAACAACACGGGCTAGTTCTTTGGTGGCTGGCCCATTATAGACTTTGGCGAACTCCCCAGCCTTGATGATGTGAAATGAGGTATCAAATGATCGCATACGAAGCTCGGAGAGGAAAGACCTGCGCACGTACTTTATTTTACCTGTCGGCCAATACTCTAGTGAAAATATTCCTTCATCTAGCTCTGCAAGTTTGAGCCACTCCATGTGCCCTTCACAGACTGTTGAGATTCTGACCAGCATAGCAGACACGTACTTGTCCGCGGGGTGAATACGTTTCAATCTGCGGGCAGCTTCAAGTAGAAACATAAATGCAAAACTATATACACGTCAGCTCTATATCTTGCATTCTCCTTGATATGCCAATGCTTACAAACTTGATGAGGTATAGATGGTATGCTCCGACATATCGCCGCAAGTCAAGGCTATGGGAACAACGCCTGGTCCAGGTTTGAACCATGCGGTTCCCAGCTCGGCCTGTTTTGAGTGTGGCTGCTGTACTGGAATGGCGCAGACTGAAAGAATGTGCTCAAGGTGCCGTCTAATTAGAAATTCAATATGTTTATCAGGCGATGCTGTATCTTCGAAGGCTTCGAGAATATTCTCGTTCAGGTTGTCAGTCCCATTGATAGCAGGGTCCGGACTGCGGAAGCTTTGGTAATCATTTGCTAGATCAATCTCAGATATACGGATTGGTGAAAAAGGCTCTTTTCTTAAAAATTCGCCGGCCTTAACAGCAGCAGCAGGTATCGGCGTTGCCCCCAAGTTCGCATCAAAATCATCTGAATGACGCAAACGGTAAGCAACAATAACTTCCATGGAATTTGAAGAGGGAAATATGTCGCTGTTTGTCCTTGCTTCCAGCCTATGAGCCCAGGCTGATGTCGCTGCTTTCCATCTCATTGGCTCGCCATTGAGAAAGACGGATACCACTACCCCCGCCGACTCTCTGCTATGTGGCCCATCCGAATCCTCGGTTGCATGAACATGTAAGCTGCTGGGGGAGTAGAACTGCCTCCTCTTCAGGGCAGTTTCTCGTGACATCACCAGTCTCTTCGTTAGACACCATCCACGCCCATCAGGGCAAGCCTGGCTTGAATATTGGCCAGAATGCAGCACAATCGGAGTGTAACGTAGGTCGCGGACAACCATGGAAGAGCCAGGATTGCAGAATTCAAACTCTACATCCAAGGGGCTGGGTTCCAAGTTCCTAACAATGCATTGTTGCAACAGGTGGCCATCGTGCATCATCCAATGGATATCCAGTTCCCACTTGTCGGTGCGGTATTGGTATCTTGGCCATCTGTACCGCAATAAGCTTAGGCGAGGGAGCTCTTTCCCAATTTCCAAGCCAGGGAATTTGAGACCGAATGCAGTTTCTCCTATGGGAAGAGGATTTCGAGACATCCATTCCAGTTGTTTGGCCCGCTCAGCCATGCAGTGGTCAAACTTAGTCGCAGCGATCGAGTCGTATAATTGTTCCAAAGCAATGAAACCAGCGGGTTCAACGCCCAAGAAGTTTCTGAAAAGTATTATCTGCCCATAAGCATTTATGCTTGCCGTGGCGCCCTGGTCTCCAATTGAGAAATGGCTTTTCGGATTTGGCGCCTGCTCCCAGGCCACGTAGTGGGAATTGCAAACGGATGCACCCGGGGCTGGCTGTTCAGTACTATTAGGTAGATGATTTCTAGGCTCTGGGCCTTGAGACTCCCCGTACATTGTCATTTGAATTGGGTGAAAAGACGAAAGTTGAAGAATTGAGCAAGAAGGTAACAATGTTGTTAGATGGCAGGTAAGTTTATGACAGAAGCATTGACAAGATATCCTCACCACGAGGACTTGCTTCCATCTTAAGCGAATCCCATCGTGGAGTGTAGCGGCATGCTGTTGCAGTTTTGGGGATTATCGCTCCCTTGGATTATTGCGGCATGTTTTGCGAGATGGTCTCTTCGAATGTCGTGTTGCTTCCTATTTAGAAGTACTTGGCCATGCTTCTAGCCATTATTGAGTCACACATTGGAGGAGGCTAGGTCACTGCAGATGTATTTGATAAGAATAAGGTATCATCCCTTACCACAGTCACCACACATGCCGGTCTCCGGTATCGATTTCAGGATATTAAGGTAGGGCAGCACCACAAGTTACTATGGTGGAAGTTGACACCAGTTTGTGCAACTGGGCACTGCGGTTGGTTGTGAGCGTCGAGTAGTCAAATATAAGTAAAACACTTGAGAAGTTTGAGGAACCCTGTACAATATTTGAGAAAACTCCCTCAAAATCAGCCCTGATAATTTTTGTTCTAAGGTTTTTCTTGTTGATGTTCCCCTCTAGGTAGGCCTCTGGTGTATAAGAGGTGTAGGGTAGGTAACCTTGGGCGCTGTCGCTCGGGGAATTCTCGGAAGAAATTGATATGTAATCAGCCAACTTGAGAGCTCTCATCCCACCATTTTGTTCGCGATACTTGACTGGCAGCAACTCAGACTGGTCGCCAAAAACCGGCCCATACACTTTTGTCGCCACACCAGCAAGCGTTCGCCATGTCGCACGCCCTCGCAGCAGTCAGACCCATGTCGGGGATTTTCCCCCGCATGTCACTCCGGCAATGCAGTCGCTGCTTCACCAACAATGCAGTGCAATCGAAAGCTCTCCTACGACCGGCCGTCTCGGTGCAGCCGCGACAGCCCACCGTTCAGAGGAGGTCGAAATATACGTCAGTCGAACAGGCCAAGAGCCGTTATAGTCGCGGGGTATGAATCCGGTGCTCGCACGAAATTGGGTCTCTCAATGCAACGTTATGTCTGACATGGTTCGATCTAGCCCTTTTCATGGAAGTCCGGCATCCTCTTCGTGGGAACCTGCGGTCTCCTGGTGTGGTACTTTGAGTTCGAGAAGGACCGCATGAAGCGCAAGCGGATCGCGGAGGCGTCGAAGGGCATGGGCAGACCCAAGGTTGGAGGAACATTCGAATTGATCGATCAGAATGGCAAGCCCTTCACCAGCGATATGATGAAGGGTAAATTCTCACTGGTGCGTATGGACCCAACCACAGCAGGTTTCCTCATCTTCATGCTCACAATTGTATTTACCTGGCTCTAGGTCTACTTCGGATTCACGCGCTGTCCCGATATCTGCCCCGAGGAGCTGGACAAGATGGCCCGCATGCTGGACCTCGTCAAGGAGAAACTCCCCGCCGACACACTTCTGCCCCTCTTCATTACCTGCGATCCTGCCCGTGACGACCCCGCCGCTCTGAAGGAATATCTCTCCGAGTTCCACGATGACCTGATCGGTCTGACAGGAACCTACGACCAGATCAAGGATCTCTGCAAGAAGTACCGTGTGTACTTCAGTACGCCCAAGGACGTGAAACCCGGGCAGGACTATCTGGTCGATCACAGCATCTATTTCTACCTGATGGACCCCGAGGGGGATTTTGTGGAAGCATTAGGCAGGCAGCATTCGCCCGACGAGGGGGCTAGGCTCATTGCTGACCACATGAAGGACTGGAAGGCGAAGAAGAACTGATTAATACCCCGAGGGGGGGGGAGGGGGACAGGATGGCCTGTGTAAAGGTGGTTGTAAAAAGATGATGTAACGCCAGGTTTGTATATCATATGTAATGTGCCTTGTACTAGTAGAAATCCCCGGGCGGATGTGACACATATCTTAGGCCGCCATTATGGCAATACTCAATTCAATGACTTGTTGAACAACTATGAATATTGTCGACACAAAAGCGCTGTTGTGTTGTGTTGGTTTGAAGGACAGTATTATACTGGAGATGTTGCTCATTGGCCGTTTGGGCGACAGGGTGTGTGTCAGTGTGTGTGGGCCGAATTTTTCCTCTGCACTTGACGAGCAACTCCCAATCACCGTCCATCAACACCAGACCAGAGTGGAACGGAAGTCATTTTCTTTCCAATGCCGATTCATAAAACGAAATGAGACTACTGGCTGACGGTTAGATTACGAAGCAAGGCGTTTCTGGCGCGGTTGAGTGACAATGGTGCGCCCTCTGGTGATGCGTAGCATCATGAGGCACGCGACGCTGCGCTCTGTGGCTTCACAGGTGCATCATCCCAGGCTCATCGCCGGACCATTGAGTAATGGCTGCCATGGGCACTGCGCGCGGGGCTTCGGCACTCAAGCTCCCGGCAACGGGGATATTGACAATATCATTCGGCAAATACGACAGGGCAATGTTAAGTCAGTCGATAGACCATCTTCGAGCGAGCTTCTTCTTGATGTTAAGGACGTAACCCCAACTTACGGACGTTCTCCGAGGCTCGTCAAGGCATTTAGTGGTGATGCCCGAGCGCTGAGCAAACACTATGCCTTCTTGTTCGGGTATGCGGAAACCTCCCCGGCCTACTTTGTGCTCTGCTCAGCAACTCTGCATTGGGAATATGCTCATTGGTCAACGCTAACGATGGCCTAGAGCCTCAGGAGTCTTGTTCAATGGCATCACCAGGATCGATGGCTCACTGTCTGCTCTTCGGGCTGTCAAGTCGCATAATGTACGATACATGTGCCTTGCTGATCCTGGAGGGATGGCCACTGAAGCAGAAACTGAACACCAATTCAAGGAGCGCATTAGAGCGAACAAGGACGATCGGCTATTCCAGGGAAACGTTATCCACCCACAGACGCCCCTGCGTCTGCTGCCCGACGAGGTAAAGCAGAATCAAGTTGTATACATTGCTGGACGGAAACCAAATAAGGCCCGGAACGTCGCTCAATCGTACGTATCCATTCTTTCTTCCCTCTTTTTTATGGCATGCTGATGAGCGCTACAGGTACGGGTTCAAGAAGATCGTAACTGGCGCAGACTTGCTGGACGAAAACTTGGAATTGTTCCCGTTTGATCCATTGAAGGTTACGGGGAAGAAGGGTCGCACGAAGACCAAAGCACTACCTGACGGAACCTCAACCTTCAAACCTAGCACTAAGAACAAGAAACAAGAACCGAACCTCTTGAGGAACCTAAAGATCGACCACATTTTTATCTGGAACGAGCCAAGGGACTGGTTCCTCGAGATACAACTCATTCTTGACATGCTGATATCTCAGCAGGGCTACATCGGTACCGTGTCCACCAAGAACGGTGACACCGGGCTGCCAAATAACGGCTGGCTGCAGGACGGCCAGCCCAAAATATGGGCCAACGTCGAGGATTTCGAATTCGAGACAGCGTCATACCACCTTCACCGCTTAGGCACTGGCGCGTTCCTGGAAGCCCTGAAGAGTGTCTGGCGGGCCAAGACGGGGTGCGAGGAACTAGAATACGAACACGTCGGCAAGCTGTCCGGGATGACCCTCGAGTACGCCCACGACCAGATCCTCCGCGCATACGCGCGTTGGATGACCGAGAAGGGCCTGGAGCCGGTGGTCGAGAAGTCCGAGGTTCGGCGGGTGTATGTGATCAGCGACAACCCGGAGAAGGATCTTCAGGCCGTGCTGGATTTCAAGCCGGAGGGCGGGACGGAATACATCCCCATCCTGGTGCGGTCGGGGGCTTGGACCGGCACGACAAAGGAGCTGGAGCGCAAGCCGGCCGCGGTTGTGGACGACGCGCTGGATGCTGTCGTTTGGGCCATGCGGAACGAAGGAGTCGATGCCCACCGTGAGATCCTCGACGTGCCCAGACACCTCATGGGCCTGGTGGGCGTGGGTGAGGTGGTCAGAGAGGAGGTGATGGCGGAGCGATTACGCTTGAAGAGGGAGTAATATGCGGTGTGCTGTGGGCTCATCACACAGCGGTATGTGCCATGTACATTATCTATGCAATATTTAGACGACTAGAACGTGTAAAATATGTAGACACCCAGGGCTTGTAATGTCTTTCAGGTCCCCCCAACAGGCCCCATGGGGGACAATTTTGTTTAACAATCAATTTCAATGCCAGCATAGGCAGCCGAGTGAGATGCATTGTCGTTGAAGTGAGTTACTGTTGTGAGCATTGTATCAGATGTTGATGTGGTTGGAGTCATGTTAGAAACAGAGCTAGAATAACGTGCCGGTTATGGATGAGGCTGGACTGCCTCTTTGGGACGGCCAACCACGGGATTTGCATGCCAAGAATCCACTGCAGACGACTTCTGCAAGGGCGAAAAGTCGATTGTCCGGTAATGGGAACTATGACATGCTGCCAGGCCACAAACGTTAAAATCACAGCCTATGGGAGGGCCATGTTGGAGCACGTGGGCGTAGGGATGCTGGGAAAATCCGATATATCACCAAGAGCGAAAAGTCTGATCATGCCGGTGACCCCGATATTGGAGCATCGACTGGGGGCTGTTGGTATGTTGTCATGTTGTGAGACCAGGTTGTATTGATAGTATAGCGTGAGTTGGAGTCGTCATTGGAGTAGATTTTAGTAGGTGCTAACATTGAAGGTAGCAAGAATGAATTACTCCAGCGCTAGAAGTGGGCCTCCACCCCCCGAAAATTAATTCTAGAAAAGGGAACCGAAAAAGAAAAAAAAAAACCAAGAAACTGGCAACGGTCGGTGAGGGGTCTAGAGAGTCATCGATTGCATCACTTCGCCCACCAAACGATACCCGTCGATAGGTTGGCCCGTTATCTGGCTCGGATCATTGCCGTACGTATTGGGACTAATCAAGGCACAACTCAAGGGTGGTACAGTCCAGCTAATCTACCTTGGCTTTAGTAGGGGGCTTTGCCGGCTGCTAGTCCAACCGGTTCCATCTTCTTCTCCCCTTCCACCATCGCCCTATTCGCTGCACCGCACAACCCCAACTTTCTCGGTGAGGCTTCAACTTGAGCATTCAGCCTCTCGCACACGACCGCGCCCCCACATCGTCCTCCATGCCAGAGATATCCCCAGTCGCTGCATGAGCATTGTCGGCTCAGTGGAGTCTCGACAGTTGGCAGTTGTCTGAGTTGCCGCAGGACAGCCTTGCCTCGCTTCCGTCTGGCAGCCGCGTGACAGGACCTTTGTCTCGCTCAAGCACGGGCGTCGTCCACGGTCTGGCCGCCCACCGCGACTTGGGACAAGGCCACTTTTTGCTCTTTCAACCCTGTCGCCTGGTCTTGACCTGGCCAATTCCCACAACGGGCCGCTCTGCTCTGCCTCGCGCCGCCTCGCGCCGTCCTGCTTTGCATCGTTTCCCGTCTCCTCTTCGCTGTGCTACCGTGTGTAGCACGAAACCAGTGGAGACCAGGGGGTCCTGCTCCTTTGAGAAACGGGCCACGCGACCAGGATCCCTTCTCGTACAAGCACCCGCTTGAATATTTAATCCCTCCGGCGTGAGTGGACTGGTCCTGGCCGGACTCGACTGGCCTGGACACCATTTGTTGGGGCTATCAGTTATATTACCCGTTATCTCTGGCTAACCCGTTCCTCTTCCTTCTTCTCTTCTTTCCGTTCCTCGTCTCTTCTCTCTTCTAATTTCTTGGCTCGCCCTCTCCAAGAACCAACTGCTTAGTGAATGGTCACTCTGGTCGTTTCGCCATGCCACTCAAGTCCGCCCTCAAGTCTGAGGACAGCGTGGAGAGGACTCCCCCAGCCAGTGGCTCTCTCAAAGGTACGTACCTTGTGTGTTTCCATTCGGTCAACTCGTCGCCTAGCTTTGATATGTTATACCGTCGCATATGTTTGCTTGTCTCTGCCCATGACACCTTTTGTTGCATGTTTGGGCAAGCCTCGAATATATTACCAAGTTTCTGTTCGAGTCTGCAAGTGCTGGCCCGAGAAACCAGCAAGCTACCGATGATACCACCCCAACCCCAACCCCTAGTTACATCCTGTATCCCGGGCCTGCACACTTGACCGTTCAGGGCCATGCATTTGGAAGAAAGGGGAAAAAAGGGGGGAGTCATTTCCTTATTTAGCTTAGATCTCTGGCAATCAAGTAGACCTGTGCTCCATATGCCTTATCCTGGCCCAGGAGGCCGGCGACGCAGGGCTGGCCAACACATTAGCAGATCGATCATATGCTTACAACCATGCTCAGCTGTGCAGATTGCGGAGCCGATCCCGGAGAGCATAGTCGAGGAAAACGTCTTGACAAGCACCAAGCAATTCCGCGCAAGCTCTGGCCGGAAACTCACCGGGAAGCTCTCCCAAACCCAGCTGGCCGGCTCATCCAGGTCATCCGCCGGAGAGAGCCCTCCGTCTCTTCAGCCTATTGATCACGATGGCTCTCACTTCTCCCACCCACGCCACCGCAACCAGTACTACAGCGAGAAGCTGATGACACAGGTCGGTGAGTGGCTAGAGAATGAGCGAAAGAAGATTGCAAGCAGGGCCAAGAAGCCTCGTCGCCAGAAGTCTGTTTCGCCCCCCGTCGAGAAGCAGGATCCCCTGGCAGAGCCATCTCAGAATGGCCGGTCGAGATCTGACTCAGTTGATTCCCAGTCTAGCGATGTATCTCTCGACAAGCTGCAAAAGATCCTCGAGGACTCTATGGCCAGCATGGGCATGAACTCTCTTCCTAGCTTTTCGCCCAAGGTTGCTCGACCACGAAGCCATCGACCTAACCGCTCATCGCTGCACCGCTCAGCCTCCTCGGACACAGACTATGTCGACGGTGATGTCATTGTACCCGACTGCGATGTGTGGATTGACAACTCAAAGACTCTTAGCTACTCTGGCGGAGGTGCCAACACCTCACCCGCCGAGGAGGGTAGCCGGGCTCGGCGTGACCAACATGCTTGGCTCGATTTCAAGAATGAAATCATTCGCACGACCCATACCCTTAGACTCAAAGGTTGGCGACGGGTGCCTCTGGAGAGTGGCGACTCGATCGAGGTAGAGCGTCTTAGCGGTGCGCTCACCAATGCTGTCTACGTCGTCACACCCGCCAACGACTACCCCAAGGTGGAAGGCCTCAAGACCCCACGAAAGCTGCTTCTCCGTATCTACGGTCCGCAGGTGGAGAATCTTATTGATCGCGAGACCGAGCTCAAGGTCCTGCAGCGACTGGCGCGCAAAAAGATTGGCCCTCGCTTGCTAGGTACCTTCAAGAACGGCCGCTTTGAAGAGTACTTCCATGCGTCACCTTTGACTCCCAACGATTTGCGAGATCCTGAAGTTTCCCGGCAGATTGCTAAGCGTATGCGAGAGCTTCACGACGGCATCGAGCTCCTGCAGCACGAGAGGGAGATTGGCCCAAGTGTATTCAAGAGCTGGGACCAGTGGTTCGACAACGTTGCTCGAATCGTCACCTACCTGGATGAGCAATTCGAAAGCGACCCCTATATCAACTCTAAAAATGTTTCGCAGACTTCGGTTGTCCATGCCTGGAAACAGCAAGGATATGTGTGTGGGGTTCCCTGGGCCATGTTTAAGGAGACCATGGCCAAGTATCGCGCACTCTTGGAACGCCATTATCATGATAAGGAGACCTTGAGCAAGTGTCTAGTCTTCGCACATAACGATGTATGTCTATTTCCCACTCTAAACCAAGGAACACGCAGGTACTGACAGTGTATTTAAAGACCCAATATGGCAATATTCTTCGGTTTAAGCCCGATGACGCCAAGTCTCCTCTTCTACAGCCTGCCAACCGGCACAAACAGCTCATTGTCATTGACTTTGAGTATGCCGGCGCCAATATGCCCGGCGTAGAGTTTGCGAACCACTTCATAGAGTGGACATACAACTACCACGATCTAACTGCCCCGCATGATTTCAACATCGACATGTATCCGACCCCGGACGAACAGCGCCGGTTTATCAAGGCGTACATCGACCATAGGCCGCAGTTCCCCAATACAAATACGCCTAAACTCTCGCCCCGCGATAGTGCTTCAAGCACACCCGGGCTCATGCCTACTCCGTCCTCCAACTCCATCTCCGACTTCATGCTCGACGCTCGCGCGCCGCCAGGGGGGTGGACCGAAGCGGAGAAGAAGCGCGAGGAAGAGACGGAGAATAAGATCCGCGGAATCCTCGAGGAGACGCGGCTATGGAGGCCGGCGAACAGCGCATTCTGGATCGCGTGGGGCATCGTTCAAGCCAAGGTCCCCGGGCTGGCCAATGCGGAGGACAAGCCCGCGGAGGGGGACAAGCCTCAGGATGAGGAGGAAGAGGAGGCAGAGGATGAGTTTGATTATCTGAGCTACGCCCAGAAGCGCGCGCTCCTGTTCTGGGGCGACTGCGTGCAGATGGGGCTGGTCAAGATTGAGGATCTGCCGGCTCAGCTGCAGGAGGGGGTGAGGATCCTCAAGCGTTAGAGATTTGTAGGACGGACATCGGTTTAAGAAACCATCTCATGACATGTCTGCGTCAGTGTATTACAGGCGATGGCAGATTATTGGATGTTATTTTATTTTTTTCGTTGCCGCATTCTAGGAGTTTCTCACCTAGCGTTTTTATGCATCTAGCTTAAGACGATCTAACATGACATCAATCTTACCCAACAGAAGCTGATAATTGATGGCGTCGGAGGCGAACTCGTCCTCTGCCGCCTTCCCGTCTATCGTGCGTAGAGCCCCATCGCCATTCTCTCCCTTCTCGCCCAATGGGGCGGCCAGAATCTCGGTGCCATCCCCCGTAGCTGTGGCGTCGCCGTTGGTAGCAGCCTGTCCGGCGATGGTGGCCGCGGCAGCTGCGTCGATCTCGCCGTTCTCGTCCATGAACTCGTCGAGCCCCGTGTCCTCGAAGCGCTGCCGGAACCGCTCCGACAGGTAGTACCGGATGTCGTCCAGCAGCTCGATGGTGTCCGTCTCCTCGCGGCTGCGCAGCCTGTTTGCGCTCTCGCGGATCAGCTCCTGGAACTCGTCCTCGTCGATGTAGTCCTCGAGGCGGTAGGCGAGGTAGCGGGCGGAGAACTCCTCGAGGCGCTGGACATTGAGGTCCCAGGCGGCGTGGATGACGTCGTAGACGTTGATGGGCTCGACAGCAGCGTCATCCTCGGCCGCACCACCGATGAGGGCGGTAGTGGCGGCGCCGTTGCCGAGGGTGGAGATGGCGGCGGCGGCCCTGGACTTGAGGTTGTCGAGGAAGAGCATGTCGGCGGCGTAGAGGAGGTCGAGGGCGTGCTCGAGGGTGATGCCGTCGGTGGACTCGGTGTAGAGGAAGGTGAGGATGAGCTCGAGGGTCTCCGGGGTGGTGTCGACGGTGACAACGCGGAGGGTGTCGCCGGGCTGGGACTCGACGAACTCGCCGAAGAACATCTTCTCGAAGTACTCGCTGCGCACGAGCATGGCCTTGTGGGCGGGGAAGAGGACCGACTTGGCCGGCGGCTTGGATTCCCTGTGCTTGCCGTTTGCTACGGGGCCGATGGGGATGATGGCGCCGTTGCCCGTCTCGGGGGCGGCGGCCTCCTCTTCCTGGGTGTCTTCTCCGTCGGCCGGCTCGTCCGCTCGGAGGAGGACATCGGCGAAGATGGAGTTGTCGTGCCGCCATTTGACGTCGTTGACCCGGTCGGTGTCGACGATCATCTTGTGGCCTATTACATTCTGCTTGAAGAAGTCGCCAATCTGGTTGCGGGCCTTCTCCACCTCGTCCTGATACCGTTGCCGCGCTAGACGGCGGTCACCGCCGGCGAGAATGGTCTCCCACAATCTCTCAATCTCAAGGTCCTTGCTGATCTTATCCAGCCCTTTCAGAACATCCTCCTCAGTCACGTCGCTGTTCTGCGGGGCAAGGTCTCTGGGGATGGTCCCGAGATAGACGTAGCGCAGCGCGATCCGGAAGGCCTCAACGGGGATGGACGGCGAGAGCTTCCATGACACCGTCTCCGGCTGCGACTCGAGCTTTTTCCTAAAGTACGGCGTCCGGGATGCGAGGATGAACTTGTGGAGATCAAATGACTGTGAGCCGGCAACGAGTGAGATGTCCGCCAGGCTGTGGTTGAGGAGCGAGGAGATGTGCGTGGACCAGTAAATGTAAGGATCCGACGACTTGGAGAAGTCGTACTTTAGGAGGAGGTTGCGTATTCTGTCATTGAGTGCATTGTATATGCAACGCTCGCCCTGAAAGGTGTCCCTTTCCGCCAGTGCTCCGGCCTCGAGCAACAACTGGACCAGTTCATAATGACCACACAGGCTAGCCTAAAAACAAGGAAGGTTTAATATCTGTCCCACTTTCTTGATCGCTTAATGATATGAGATGAAACGTACAATAATCAATGGTGTATAATCGAACTTATCTTTGCCATTGATGTTGACGCCGAGGTTGATCAGTTCTTGGCACTTTCTCAAATCGTTGAGACGGCAAGCTTGGAGAAACTCATGAAATTCCGGGCTAGTATCGAGAGGGTTCTCGTCTCGAAGCTTTCCTGCCTTGATCATGAGGGCCTCCTCCGCCAGAGTACCCTCCAGTTCATGCTTCTTCATCACCATGATGGCGGAGGTGAGGGGCGATTATTAATATAAGACGACAGTTGTTATCAAATGTAGAATCGACAGAGTGATATGAAAATACGGGGTGGGTTTATATATGCGTGAATGATAATGCTGCTATGAAAGAACACAAAGTCTATCAGAATAGTGGAAAAGAAAGGGAAAAGAGCCAATGGATGGGTTCTACATGAATTCATCAATGAGATGGAAAGATGATTCCATGATTTAAGTCCGAGTCGAGCTGTAAGTTGATTGGACCCCTCCTTGCGCAAGTGCCCCACCGATTGACTCGTAGAGGTACGTATCTAATATGGGTCTCGGAGCCGGGCTGTTATCGATAAGCGGCTCAAGCTCGGCAAGGCTGCGAGCTGTTGCTGTTGCTGTGGAAACCCGCATGACTGTTTACGGTGTGGGACGATAGCTAAGAGACAAGGGTCTTGGTTAGCAACCAGCCGCTGTTTGCGCTACGACGACTGGGGAACCGGTGCTTGGTTACCAGGTAGCATTGATTGTGAGCGGAAACTTATCATCATACCGGAGCCTCGAAAAGCACTTCCTCTTCCTCTCTTCCCTTCCCTCCCATCGCCACCCACGACGACCAACATCCGCCCTCGTTACTAACCCTACAGGATATCTACCAGTCCATCATTCCATTACACCAACTGTAGAGCAGTTGCAGGCGAAGATACGCAGCCGTCCTTCTGCATGGGTTCATTTGTGCTTTTGCAACTTTAGCGTGGTATTGTCTTCGAATATTGTTCATCATGTCGTCGACAGAAGAAAAGTACGAGACCTTGGAGAAGATTGGTACGTTCACGCTTATCTCAGTCGACCGTTCACCGCCACTCGGCCACTTCACCAACCGCAACAGCCCCAATTCACGCTGTTGCTGGCCGATTATTTTCACGGTTCCAGCTTTGACTTGGTTCTTGATTCCCAGTCTGGCGTGAACAACTTTTGCTAACGAGCTCTCTTCTCTCTGTTAGGTCATGGCTCCTTCGGTGTGATCCGCAAGGTGCGCCGGAGAACGGATGGCTTCATCATGTGCCGCAAGGAGATCTCCTACCTCCGCATGTCCCAGAAAGAGCGCGAGCAGCTCCACGCCGAGTTCCAGATCCTGTCGCACCTGCGCCATCCCAACATCGTCGCATATTACCACCGAGAACATCTCAAAATGAGCCAGGATTTGCATCTGTATATGGAGTACTGCGGTAACGGCGACCTTGGCCGTGTTATCAAGGATCTCCAGCACAAGAACCAGCGTGCGCCCGAGAGCTTCGTCTGGAGCATATTCAGCCAGCTCGTCCTAGCCCTGTATCGATGCCACTACGGCGTCGACCCTCCCGAGGTGGGAACTCAGGTGCTGGGCTTGACGCAAGGGAACGCATACGGTGCACCCAAGGTCCCTGCTGGCACAATGACTATTCTGCACCGAGACCTGAAACCTGAGAACGGTAAGCATGGCCCCTCCGAAGTTTTCGTGAATCTTGATAGCGGAGGTGATTTTTTGCTGACAAGGCCAACAACCAAAACAGTCTTCCTGGATGAAGACAACTCAGTCAAGCTGGGCGACTTTGGTCTCAGCAAGATGATCAAGTCACAGGATTTCGCATCCACCTATGTCGGGACACCCTTTTACATGTCGCCCGAGATCTGCGCGGCAGAGAAGTACACTCTCAAGTCGGATATCTGGTCACTTGGCTGCATCATCTTCGAGCTCTGCGCGCGTGAGCCTCCATTCAATGCCAAGACGCACTTCCAGCTCGTGCAGAAGATCAAAGAGGGCAAGGTCGCCCCCCTTCCAGAGATGTACTCTCCAGATCTTAACCAGGTCATCAGAGACTGCCTCCGGGTCAACCCCGACCGAAGACCAGACACAACCCAGCTGCTCAACCTGCCAACTGTGAAGCTTATGAGAAAAGAGAAGGAGGTGGTTGACTTGAACAAGGCGCTTCGAATCAAGGAAGACGCACTTAGGAAGAGGGAGAAGGACCTCAATGACAGACTGGCTGTCATGGATCAGGAGAAGAACATGCTCCGTGAGGAACTCGACGCATCCCTACGACGAGAATGGGAGGTCAAGGCCCGGCTCGAGATTGACCGCCTCGTGGGGCTAGAGATCGAGAAGCTGCAGAAGCGCTTCGAGGAGGAGGTTCAAGCCCGTGTCGATTCTGAGCTGCAGAAAAAGACGGTGGCATTTGTGACGGAGGAACCCAAGCCAGAGGAAGGTCTCCTACCTCCGCTTCCCGTGTCAGAACCCAAGTCCGACTACCCTCACTCGTCAATTGGAGCAACTAGTGGTGACGAGTTTCCTTCCACGACTGATCTCACCGACTACTCCATCGACAGCCCTGATAGCACCAAGGAGACTAAGAAGCCCAACACAAGGACGCCTTTCGGGCGTGCCCAGACAATGTTTGTTGGCCACCCAGCCGGAACTCCCATGGACGTGGAGATGGCCTCACCAAGCCCCATGGCCATTGCTTCTCTGTCTCTCTCCCCACGCCGAGGAGAGGCCACCAAGGCACCAACCCTCCATACAGGCAACATCTTCGCTGTCAATGCCGCCAATAACGGCGAGCGACGGTGGAACATTCCCCGCGAGGCTCTTCTCGAGGAGTCGGATGATGAGGATATTATCCCATCTCCCACCCGCCAGATCAAGTCGTCCAAGAACCCATTCACTAGCAAATCACGACCTGTTCTCACTTCCCAGAAGTCATGCCCCATCAATCGTCTGAAGGGACAGACCAATGGCAGCTCAGGAGGCGGTCTGGTCTCCAAGGTTGGGCTGATGCCACCCGAGTCCGGCCCTCGGTCGCCTAACAGACGGCTGAGCAAGATCCCATCGGCTGCCAATCTGGCAGAGAACGGCTCATCAGGCATGGGCGGACTGGGCCGAAATCCTTCGACCAGGAAGGACAACAGCAGTGACGCGCTGAGCAAGATGGCTGCTAAGAACAACATCAAGGGCCGGACGCTGGTAGAACTACAACAGGCACGAGCAGGCGGCCGTCCAATGAGCGCAATCCCTGGAACGACGTCGGGCAACGCCTCTGGATCCGAGAACAGCGGCAACGTGAGCCCTAAGCGTATCGCGGGTCGCAATGTCGGAGGACGCAGATCCAGCGGCGGGAGCAGCGAGCCTGCTGCCGTTTGGGATCCGGAGCGCGACGAGATGCCCAGCCCGTTCCTCGTGCGAACCCGCAAGATGAACAAGGTCTGATGGACTTCCATCTTGGTAGGTTTGTCTCTTTTTCCTCGCACGCGAGAAGAGCTCACCAACTACTTCACTCCATACATTACCCACGCTTCTATTCTACACACGTGCAACACGCATGTCAAGATGTTTTGATACACTTGGAGGGTACGACGTACATGAATGACATCTTCTTTTCTTGCCCCTTCCCTTGGTTTTCGTATCTCCCGCCCAACAATAATGCCATTCTCCTTCCTTTTCCATCTCTGACATGAGAGGAAGAGAAGAGGATAGGATGGGAATTGATACCCTCATGATACACATTACTTTTCATTCTAGAATGCATTGCCGACATCCGCAATCTTTGTTTTGTTTGTTTCTCCCTGCGACGAGGAGTGTGGCGTTTTGTCCCAATTTTTTCCGTCATCATTGCAATATCTCTCTTCAGAGCCTCACGCGTTTTCTCCTTTGTACACTCTTCCACCTTTTCCCTGCTTTCGCCGTGGCGCATAATGGCCTTTTTTTTTTTATTCTCTTCCCTTTTTTTTACACTATTGAATTACGCTTATGAAGGAGGCTACGGAGGGGGGAATGAGGGGATTGTCTGGTTGGTTGGATGTGTGAACGGTCGGGTGTTTGGTTGGAGCAAGGACGGAAGCTATTCCATTATCAACGAACCTTTACCTTCCTCCCACCTACATCATTCCTCCAAAGGGGATAATGACAACGATGGGGGGGGGATAATGTGAGCGAGGATTGACGAGACAAAAGAGTGTCGGGGAGGGCTGGGAAGATGGCGAACGGTTGACGGCGGCGTTTCCTTGCTTTTTTCTTCTTCACCTCCTCTAGAAGAGTGCTCCCCCCCCCTTCCTCGGCTTTACCAGAAGAGGGCGGCAACCAGATGGGGAAAATTCCTTGGTTTTGAGATTACGGGCGCTTTCTTGGTGTTGCGCCTCTTCCCACCCTCTTCCCACCTTCGCTTTCCGAGACGGGCGGTTATCTGACTATCGGGTCAGCCACCTTCTTTTCTTTCCTTTTTTTTGCTTCCTCTTGTTGCGCTGTTTTCCCGTCCCTTTCTGGATTTCTTTGCTTTTTTTTTTAACATCTCTGGGCGTTTGGAGAAACAGGGTCTGAGGCAGGGGTTCATTGAAATGGCATCCATAGGAATTTTCTAGTTTAGTGAGATTTTCTTGTCACCTTGTTGAGAAAGCTTAGTTGCGATAGAACAGCAGCATGACTAAAAGAAACACGAGTTTAAAAAAATCACATTGTGCTTTCTTTCGCCTTTCCCACCATTATCAAAAGGGGGGTTGCAATGACGCCCATGCTATATGTATGCTATGCTTGCTCATCTTCCCCCATGTCGGATGTGTCGCGCCGTCGCATGAACCAGGCGAGCATCTCATGTAAGGTTCTCCCCCGTCCGGCGTGAGACGATCACAGGTACTAGGAACAAAAAAGTCACACCGCATGTCTCTGTTTTTGCTTATTCCGCGGTGAGCACCGAATATTAGTATGTGATTGGTGATTTAGTGCGCAGCCTTCCCAGCTCTTCCTTTCTTTTTTCCCTCCCTTCCTCTCAGCCCTGGCAAGGCGGGAATATACGCCGATACAGTACACCCACTAATCAATTCAGCTCTCCTTGGCCCGGTGAGGTCAAGATGTGACATGTAACATTGCTTCCCTGACGCTTCTCCCGTCTCGATCTGGCTCCCCGTCCATGGGTGAGCACCCCCTCTCACTCCCCGAAGTTAGGGAGAAGCAAACGATGCGAACGCACATGATGCCATGTGCCGCTTTCCATCACACAAGCTTCAGCCGTGCAGGATGTGATGGAGGGGGGAAGACATGGTCCAGCTTCTGGGGAGGAAAGGGGGAGGGGGAGGGCGGACCGGGGGTCCAGGAAGTTTAAACCGAAACGAACGCCAGTAGGCCATGATTACCCGGCCGAGAAAGCATCTCGTGGAAGGCGAGGCAAGGTGGTATTGTTAGCTGCCATCGCCAACACGGGTATGCCGGGCTGCCGGGAGAAGCAGGACAGTGACACAAGCGCCCCCCTCCCTCCTCTAGAGAGAGAGAAGGTTGTAGGGATGGAGGCAGTTAATGCGCGGCTGACCTCACCGTTTCCGGCCTATTTCTACCCACACGAAACATGGTAGAGGGAACCATTCTTCTAGCTTCATTGCAAAATCGTAATCGTAAACTCGGAATTTGGGTGTCCATTCTACCCTGGTCCTATGTTACCTTGGCCAGCCAGAAGGACCTTTGCTATTCATTCAGTCATTTATTCCTTCATTAACCCATCACACATATTTAGCCTCTCTTGTTCTCAGTCCTTTGTCACTCCCTTTTTATCACTTTCTCATGCTCCCCGTTGCACACCCTCCCGGTTTCCCCCCCTAGTTTCCCGTGTAGGAATTTCATCCGTCTTCCTCCCCGTCACATGCTCTTTCGGTGTTTTCCGTCCAAATGCCCTGTCGCTTTGGTTTTTGTTTTGTTTTTCCAGATCAAATGACTGTGATTAACCATGGGCGGCGTTGTTTCTCCTCTCAAAGGGTAATGAGGTTGGTTATGATATGTCGTGTAAGTAGGGGGGGAGACAGCATGCCTACCATGCAATCAAAAAAAGAAAAGAAAAAGAAAGAAAAAAAATATTGGAGGAAAAAGTAAATAAATAAAAAAGAGGGTATTTTCCTGGGCACCAATCAAATCCAAACTTGCTTGCTGAAAATATTAGAAGCTCAAAGATGGTTTTGGAAGCCGGTTCCAGAGGTGGTATAATAATAGAGAAGATGTGAAAATCCAGATCCTGAGTAGGGCAAGGCCGTTCGTGATTGAGTTCGGAATAATAAACAAACAAAAAAAACCAAGATGAGACCCAACCAACGCCGTGAAAAGATCACCACTCCAGCTAGCCGTGAGGCCAATCCTTCTTTGCCAAGCCGCGAGGCCTCATGCACTCTCGCTTTCCTATGCACCAAGTAATAACAAACGATAAAAGAATAAAGGCTGCAGTCCCAATAACCCCCACTGATGTCGTATCACGCTGACGCTCGCCCATCTGTGTATAAAAGCGTCCAAGACAAGATAAATGCGGTCAAGATTGCGAATCAAGTAGCGGTCCTGTCTTATCCCGCTGCAAATTGCTGCCCTCCCAATGAATACAAATTCGTAAAGTAGCATATCATGAAAATGCTATTGTTGCATGATGCCAAGAATTAATGTGGTGAGACTGGAATTGGTTGTATGGAAACCAGTAGAATAGTATAGAAGAGTAGATAGGTGGGAAGATTGCGGGAAAGGCATTCCGTGAACACGGACATGCCCAAAGAGGTGGCCAGCTCCCTTGCTCAGCGTCGGCTGCTGCGGTGGGAGGAGCTGTGGTGGCGGTGGGAGGAACTGTGGCCATGGCGGGATGACGATGAGGAGTGATGATGGGATGAGGAATGCCTATGGCGGCGTGACGAACCGCTATCGTCCAGCTCGCGCTCCAGAGATTCCACTCGGGACCTGTACTGCTTCACAATCTCCTTGATATGGGCAATGCGGTCGAAATCCACCTCGAGCTCATCGAGCTGGCGTATTATGGACGTGTAGCGTGCAATCTCTTGATCGGCGCCGGCTATTATGTTGCCAGCTCGGTCATACTGGACCTGGGTGAACATGTTGGCCTGCTCGCTGAGGCAGTGGATGTTGTATTCGATGTTGGCCATGAGCTGGTCGAAGTAGCGGCCGAGAGCGGCGAGGGAGGAGCTATCGAGAAGCAGAAGGCCTTGACTGCTGGCTCGGCTGGCTGCACGGGAACTGCTGGAGCCGCCGTCCAGGGCGGCCTGGCCCTGCCGTAAGATCTGGACCTCCTCCGGAGTAAGTCCCAACTGCGTATCCGGCACGGCGTTGGCCGTCATGGCGGATTGCGCACGAAGCGCGCGGGCGACGGTCTGCTGCTACAGGATAAGGTCGCCGCAGTCTCAATGCAAGGTCGGGGATTGTATTAATGGGTGGTGGTAGGGTCGACAGGCGGGTTCTGGGAGAGGCAGAAGTTGAGCGATTGTCGAGCGAGAAGGGTGGGGGAGTTTCTTGATGCCCAATGACGATGGCGGACATTGGGAGGAATACGACGGTAGCCCTCGATTTCGCGAGAGTGGCACACAGAGTGTCATGATCCCGATAACGCAGGAATAGGGAGCATTGCCGACGGGCGCAAGAGATTTGTGCGGTTTGTCGAGCGCACAGGCGCAGCCAGAAGGCGGACGGTTTGATTCTGGGCCGGAGAGCAGCAGAAATCCGGGTTCCGCTGGGCGGGCTGGATTTTGGTGGGTGATGCAGCGGTTAAGTCAAAGTGTGTATGTAGTAGGTATGTCGTAGGCAGGCCCAGCACCCAACGACCTGCTGGAGCTGTTTCCGGGGTATGTAGAACTGGCCGTGATTGGAGAATGGCAGCAGGGGGAGCGTCCGTTTCTATGCTGTGCTTGTGTTGCGCTGTGCGTGTGCTGCCGTGCAGCTGCTGAGGCGTCTTGAAACGGCTCAGGTCGACAAAGAGCTGCTGCCGGTGCAACTCGAGGCAGCTCTGGCAAGGACGGGCATTTAAGTACGAGAGGTCGAGGGGAGCGGCAGCGATGGACAGTGAATGGAGGATAGCTGTGGATGGTGTCAGAGCAGCGGAGCAGTTCCCCTCCTGGAGGGTGGTTCCCAGTAAAGTGGGTGGACGGACGGATCATGGGCATTGGCATTGGCATGGGCAGGGCCGGAGCATGGGCCATGGGATGTGATAGGATGGGATGGGATGGGATTGGGAAGCCATGGCAAAGGGCCTGGCCCACACAGCCATCAATCAGCCCACCGGCGAATGGTTCGCGGCGCCAGATTTATGCCTCTTTGATGAAGCGTTGATGGTGGACGACGCAGGCACATACCTCATTTTACCCCTGCCGGGCCCTTTCTGGAAGTGTCACCTGGTGATTCTGGCAATGGAGATGAAGGGGAACGGGTGGGAGGACGACGAGCCCGGACCCTTGCAGCTTGTCCGTGACGGTGCGAAGGGGCAGGTGTTTTGTTTCTGTTCGGTCGGTGTCGGTCCTTTCTGTCATCTCATCTCACGCAGGCCTGGCGCCCAATGACGTTTGGCTGCCGTCCCCCCGCCAGCGCCTAGGCTCGAGGCTGTAACTGCGACTGCAACTCCGCTGTGACCGTAGCTGTCTGGGCGTCGAGCCTGGGCGGCTGCGTCGAGGTACCTGTGACTCTCCATGGAAGGGAGGCTCCATGGACGGCGATAGCAAGAGGTTGTACCTACAGGCCCATTGCAGTGAGACGGCGCGGGCGGCTGCTGGTGCTTGGCTCAGGCTAGCCTAGCTCTAGAATTAGCCTGCCACCGCCTAGCCTAGCCTACCTACAGGTAAAGTACTGGACTCCTGAACGGCCGAGAGACAAGCAAACAACTGCAGACATGGAAAGGCTGGTGATGCTCAGCGGACCGAGGAACGCCGTCGTGTCGCACACAGTCACGGACAGGACACCTCGGCTTCCGCGTAGTACCGCTGGCCAGACTGAGCCTTTGCCCAGAACCAAGGTATCATCAATACACACACACAAGAGGTACGGCCGATACAGCCACCCCCGAGGGAGCGAAAACGAGCGAGGCTCTGCCGCCTGTCGCGGTCGCACTATGGCATCGCATCGCATCGACCAACAACCCTGCACGCCTGGCCTGGCATTGCAGACTGGTCGGCTCTGCTCTGCCAATTCCAAGCCTCATCTCGTCTCTCATCACATCACGTCAAAAAGGCGACCAGCAGCCACAGCCACAGCACCACCGGCCAACACAGCACGGCATGGCATTAGCACCAGCCAGCATGAGCATTGGCAGACCAATGCGCCTTTTTGCATACGATCGGGACTTGAAATGGTCAATACGGTACTTGCGGTCCATCCCACTCCATCTCATCACGGGGTAGCCACCCAGCCAACCCGCCTGCACCCGCAGCAATTCTGCCGATGGTATGATCAAAGGCAGCCCAGGTGGAGCTGCAAGATGTACGTCTTCGCGGAACTGTGTCAGTGTGGGCTGATGATGAACGGGGGACAGGTTACGCGGTCAACTATAGTCGGACCATGATGGAGGCAGGCGATGGTGGATCACGAGCTCGGCACGTCTCTGGACAAGACTTCCTTGCCTTAACTCAAGGCAAGCCCTCATGCCAGCCACGGCGACGAGAAATTGAGCCTGCAGGCCGGCCTGGTCGGCCAATTCGAAAGCCTGTGAGACAAGCAATCGGCATTGGGTTGGATGACTTGCCTTTCCTGGACAATTGGGCATTCCCTTTCATCATCTGGGGGGGATGATAATACTGGAAAAGAGCAACATAATAACAAGATGCCATACCCTTGCTCGACAAGCGAAGCTACTGCACTCACCTTGGACTTCATCTGCCTCTGTCTAGTTGCAGAGGTGGAGAGCTGCTTTTTAGGGGACCGGCTCCACTGGCAAAACTGAGATGGCCTTATTCTGCATCCATGCTTCACTCCACACTTGTTATGACGGACGTACAGATGAGAGCCAAGAAGGTTAAAGAGAATCTCGTCCAGAATCATATGGAAGCGTGCGGGCCGAGAGGGCGACTATACGGAGCAACCAGGCTCAGGAACCTGCACGTCCCCTTTCATCTTGGCCATGACCAGACTGGCCGCGAAGGTGGTCGTGATGCAGGGCCGGCGGCATCATCATCAGGTTGGCGGCAGTGGTCAATCACTAGTCAGATGCGTCTGGCGTCTACCATGTCATGCCATGCCCATGCAATGCTCAACCATGCTCTCTGCGCCATGCACGTCCAACCAGTTCCCTGTCCGAGGTAAAATCGTCGTCCAGCAGACGTCGGTCTGTCGTCGGTCGCCTGGACGCGGCGATAAAGGCACAAACGCATGGGGTTGGAGAGTCGCATTGGGCACGAGCACCACGCAGGCTCGTCTGGCGTCTGCCTGTGCGGTTGACACTCTCCCACATGGATCATGGGCACAGCTGTCATGTACTAGTCATGCAGGTAACTGGGCTGTCTCATGCACAACACCTCTCTCGCCAGTCCGGCAGCCTGCAGCCGCTGCACGAATCCTCACCTTTACCTTGCCCGACCTGGCCTTACCTTACCTACCGCACCTTGTTTACATTCTGACATTTCCCAGGGTAGATACCCCAATCCCGGCAGAATCACAGCTAGGAGAGTAAAATCCGATGCTGGCGGGGCCGCCATTTTGCGCATTTCGCTCGGGTGTTTCCGATACCCCAAAAGGGCTCGCACGACACCCTCGCGTGATGCTCGATCGTCTTACCCGACAATCCACAGCCTGTCCTTTTCTTTTTCGTCTTCTCTTGCCCTTCCTCTGAATCCACTCGGCTACGGGGAAATTCTCCCTTCCCAACCACCCGAGATCGCCGATGGGGGCTGCACCAGGCCAGACGCACATACACATACATAATCCTATGTGCCTGCCGATATGCGCATATATCGAAATGTACCTATTTTACAGCACATGCCCTTAGTCTCCCTCCTCTCTTTCTACCTCATTGCCGAATACGTGGATGGCATTGACCCTTCCCTGCATATACTACACATACATCCATCCATCCATATGCAATGCCTGCCTCACATACATGCGTACTACATGCATGTGCGTGAGGAATTGCCGCCATTTCTGCCCGCCTGGGCTGATCTCGGTCTCGGGGTTTTGCATCTCAACAACAAAGCTGCACCCCAAGTCCCAATCCACTCCTTTGCTCGTCTCCCCCCCATAAATCATACACACACGCACGCACATACGTAGTATCGTCATTTCTTTTCGTTTCAGGCAGATCCACTTCGAATATCCGTCTTGCTCGCCCATTCGATAACATCTCCATTGCCGCCCTCTGCATAAGGCAATCAATCTCTCGTTCTCTCTCCGTATCTCCCTCCCCACTCTCGCAATGTAACCTCTGCGGAAATCGCACTATCCGCAGGAGAACTGACGAGAGCCATCAGAACATACCTGCATGCCGCTACGCGTCTTGCAGTTTCGAGATCTCGCAGAGGAGGCCTGTCTGACGTGCCCTCCCTCGCCTCAGCCCGCCATGGTCTTATGCAGACAAGGGCTCGCTTCACACCTCTCGAAACTCTTACCCTATCCGTTACGAGCGGTTTTCTCTCTAATTGGCCTGTTCCATTTCAGACATCTCGACAATAAGACAGGTCGGCTATAGCACCGACGTAGGCCGGCCCTCAATCAGTCTCCTGCATAGGCCGTCAAATTTGTTTGTGCATATGCCATCCCATCTTACGACGGGATTGTCTGTAACAGCGGCCCGCCTTTTGCTTTTTGACAGCCGATCGCGAGGTCGTCACTGTCGTTCGATCATGCATTGTTGTCGCCCATGCAGTCATGTATACTTGGCCCCCTTTATACCTTTGCACCACGTGGCCTGAACCGTCTCCAGCTTTTCGAACAATCCGTAGACCTTCCAAGTGAGACGTTCCACTGCATTGTCCCGAAACCCACTGAAGACCGGAAATTCAGAAGGCCGGACTTTTGCCCCCTAACGAGCACGTAGACTTGGAAGAAAGTAAGCCTAAGAACACTCCGCGGTGGTAACTCTGTTTGTATCTAGCTACATGAGATGTTTTCTAGCTTGCTCCCTTGTTTTGGCCTGAAACAGATGTTAAACGCTATGAAGGTATGAATGCAATCACAATAAACAGTAAGAAAACGCCGTTCTGTCTACAATTGAAATTGTCTCTCACTTTGGAGAGGTAACAAAAGCAAGAGAACAAGAACTTGGCCCCTCTCACCTCTCGGCGCAAAGGTAATATGTCTAGTCGAGAGTACAACCAAGTTCAGGGTGAGAACGTGCCACCAAGTTAGCTGTGACTACAACGGTAGTTTCGGCGACGCAGATTCCCTAATGCCATTCGACCTGCGTTCCCCTCATAGTTTTTTTGGCAGATGTGTCAAGTCTCAATCCTTTTCTAGACATGCCGTGTCTGTACATGCAGAAGGATATTCGACTCCTCTCGTAATTTTGGGGGCTTAACTGTCTTATTTTCTGCTCAGTAAGTGGCCTCAACTCAATGCAGGAGCATATTTCTCGAAGTTGAAGTTCATCGAAGTGGCATAAATCGTGATATTTAAAGAGGTCGCGCTCGGCGTCATATATTCAGCATATGAGCTTAGTGATTAACAACGATATTCTCAAGAAGAAGAAAATAGAAGAACATTCTATGTTTACAAGCTTGTCTTCGTATGTCTCGCAGCATAGCATGTCGGCTTACTACAGGATGTTGTGCGGCCTCGCCCGTTCAGCTGCACTTACGCCGAGGCAACAACACCGTCTTCGATGTCCTAACATCTCACGACTGGGCACACGCGCCATCAATATTTAGCTCCTTGGAGATTCCAAGGACCCATTGGATCCATCAAAATGAAAAATCATGATTGTCCGACCAAGATTCTTGACAGTAACGCTGAGTGTACATATTCCATTTACCTCGCGCAATCTGATCGCAAGCACCACGACTAACCCGAGTTCCCGCGCAAAGACGCCACACCTCTTCGGATGCCTGGTCGCTTTTGAATTTTACGGCAGCTGACAGGAAGAGTTGCCCATTTTTACGAACCTCGGGAGGTCCACGTGCCTGGGGGGGAGCATATTGATGCGGTCTCTCCGCGGTACAGGAGGATTTCCAGGCTTTGGGAACCCCTCGATCATTTCGTAATACTACGTACATAGAAGACCAGGCCTTTCGCAAGGCGAAGTAATCGTACATCACATATATCGCTTCCAAGCTGCCCAAGTCTCTGTTACTTCCTGCTGCTGTGCCGATACATTCGTCCACACCATGTCGACAGACAATGCCGGTGGCCTTGGGTATCATCGCCTTCTGGCCCGCCGAGTACTTGTCACACGTAGCTTACCCAGCTTGGGCAGCCTAGATCCTGGGAGCCCAGATCATATGAGAATAAAGAGACCTCCTGATGAACCTTCTCTCTTCTGCGGGGTATGACAGGTCAGATCAGCGACCTCGGCTCCCCGAGTCATCATCTCACTACCATCATCCTTGCCCAACCAAAGACGGTTTTAAAGTTATTGTGTATTTGTCTATTTCAATAACACATCATCAATTCTCGTTTAGTAGTTAGCGTAAAATGAGAAGAGTGCTTGGTTTCGTTCCCGTACTCTAGGTTGCTCACAGCCCAGCTCACCAAATCAGCCTCGCAGCCTGCCTGCATCCTAATGGACGCGACCTTTATTTCTCCTGGCTTAATTTTAACTGAATGGTTCAATAGGGTATTTTAGCTTAGGCTGGGATATTTTGAAGCTTTGAAAGCTATCTCGGGCACCGATTGATGAACCAGCATTGTCTTCGGTTGATGGGTATGGCTATCTCTGGCAAGACACTGCTAGACACTGCTAGACTCAACATGTATGAGAGACAGGTAGTATAAAACATTTCGATTCTATTTAAGTGACATTAGAAGTATATTGCAGTACACATTACAGCCTCGGTATGAGTCTACGTCAATATACGGCCGAGTGTCAGTGCCCATCTAGCCTCAGCTTCCATTCCGCATGAGCATACGGTGTGCCACTTGCAAATTTTCCCGCTGTTCGGCCTCTTCTTCATATGTAAATAAGAAATGAGTCTATTTAACATTCGTCTTTGCAAAGACTTGCAAGTGCTCAGTCCAGGCTAAAATAGATCAGAACCTCTGCATCCCATACGTAGCATGAGATACGGCCATGAAAGAGAAAGTTCCCCCAGGCCCGTCAGGTTTACCCGGCACTTTCATCACAAATCAATAGTCTATCCCGCTAAACCAGCTCGAACTAAATGAACTTGGCAGACCACCCTTTCTCGGGCCAGAGGAGTCTGGTCGTGACGGAGGACAGCACAAATCGAGAAGGAGGGTTGTGATAACTCGTGTGTCCCAACACCCTCTTCCACTCGGGCCTACCCTATTGTGGTCGACATGAAGCACCCAGTTATAGTCTTGTCAATGAAAGAAGAGACGTCAAATCCAGTAAAGCACAGCTATTGTGGAATGGGTATTCAATGGGGCATCACGGTTACGGGCAAATAGTTGTTGGTCCCGTCAAATGGCCAATTGTTTCGCAAAAGGTGAGAGAAATTCCCATGAAAACTTCAAGGCTCAGACACCTACCTCTACGACCAATGCAACATCAAGACGCTACCAGCAAGGATGGAATCCTTTTGAAACCTAGCACAGAATACATCCGCTCAAACGATGGTGGCATAGGAGCGGAGAAGGCCCGTCTGATCGCCATCGGCCTCTCCGTTCGTTGACTATACAGCCGC